GAAGGTCACAGTTGAGGTAGCATTTACACAAACATGACACAGCTGTCATGGTGACTAGACTGATGTCATGATCAGCGACAAAAACTAACATTTCCAGTCTATTAGTCCTCACATGTAATAATAGCATATAGCATTGTATAGCAAAGGCCTAAAATAAATATGACCAGTAACAATTTCTAGCTCTGATGATGACAAAAACACTGATGCTATAGTCAGTGGTAGAAACTAGCATTTTCAGTTCACTAGGCCTTATAATGATAAGATATAGCAAAGACCTAAAAACAATATATGACCAGTGACAATTTCTAGCTCTGATGATGACAAAAACACTGATGGCATAGTCCACTGAATTCCACTTATGTTGATACAGGAATAGGGGTAACTGCTTGTCATAAGAAACATTTACATTATCACGTTTCTTTTTTAGCACTATGGTATTAATTTAGTTGTTTTTTTTATCGACCACAGTCTCAAAGGTTGTGGTCAAAAAGCTTAAAGCACGTAATAAATCAAGAGCTTTTGAGCAACCAATCGATCACAGCTGTTATGTCTCGAATCTAGTATCTGGTACTTTAGATTGAGTGATCACATTCGAGGAAAGGATTTTCCATATGTTTCACCTACACCTGTGTCATCACGAGACTGTTTACGTGTGTACGGCTTCCTCAACCGGTAGAGACACGGCAACAATAACATCCCCTCCCATAACCACATCGCAGCATGTCCAGTGCTGTAGATCCCACCCATGGTGTGTGATAATATAACGCTTGTGTTCACCTTGTGTCGTCTCGAAACTGTCCGGTACCAATGACGGTGAACTTTTCAATCCGAGTTCGCTTTCGTGGCAAAGATAAGGCAAGTACGGTATATATCTTTTGGGACATAAATAGCTGACCCTGTCACGTGACCTACACACCGATATGTCACGCATGACTGTCTCATGTCTATGGAAACTGTCAGGTGTATGCATGCACGTTGCATATCAAAATACTACCTCGTGTCGGGCGAATATGCTTGCAAATATACATGCTTGGCGCAAGATAAAATTCCTTAATATCAGACAGCAAGGGATAAAAAATATATGAAATCATAATAGTCTGACACGTCATGCATACCCGGAGCTGGAGCCGTATTCGGGTGTGATTAACGTGACCATGGACTGATCCGCGGAAAAAGATCAGTTTGTAGACAAGAAATTTAGTGTTGACTTCAGTTCAACTTGATATCAGGCTTCAAATTCGCCCACACATAGTACATTTTTAATTCGACCAGGAGAGATCCGGGGTAGAATAGGTCTTCAGCAACACATATGTATGCTTGTCGTAAGAGGCCACTAACGAGATCGGGTGGTCAGTCTCGCTGACTTGGTTGATGCACATCATCGTATCTCAATTGTGTGGATCGATGCTCATGATGTCAATCACTTGATTGTCTGGTCCCGACTCGATTATTTACAGACCGCCGTCATATAGCTGGAATATTGCTGAGTGCGGCGTTAACCAACCAACAAACATGCAAAGTCGCTATATAAGTGCAGTATTCTTAAACGCAATGTTTAACCCCATTTCACCTCACCCACCTGTTGGAATAGTGTTACTATATTATAAGTCCTGGAATTGCTTATAAGGGGATACATTATCATCCATATAGTGTTACAGTAAATAAATACACGAGATGCCTTATCTAATACACAGCATAAAGCATCGACATCACCAGTAGATCAACTCCGGGATGGATATTCCAGGATATGGTATTTAGGTCCCCCAAACCTATGCTGGTCGTAAGAGTCAATTAATGGATCGAGTGGTACAGATCCGCGACTTGGTTGATGGTGGGTCATCGTATACCGACGGAGTAGACGGTTGCTTATTATATCAATCACTAGTTTTTCAGGCCTATTCGATTACTGACAGACCGCCGTCGTAAAGAAACAACTATAGTGGTACGTAAATACAGGGACACTGTATATCCAGTGATAACACTATCTTTTTTTAATTATATATACCTTTTATTCATGTTATCAATGCGATAAACGTTAAACTTGTAAATAGTCACCTAGCAGGAACTACTCTTGATCTCCATATACCGATTCAATGTCTGCTTGCTAAATAGACTATTGACTAACCTTATCGTTTCGATAAGTAGGCGTGGGTGAATAGTGGGTGATTAGTGATAGACGGTGAGATGCGTTGAAATGGGGTTTAACGTCGCGTTCAAGATTATTGCACTTATATAGCGACAACGTGCGTGTGTGTGTGCGCGCGCGTGCGTGCGTGTGTGTGTGTGTTCGCGTGCGTGAGTATCTGCTGGTGTTTCTCCGCCGTGATATTGCTAAAAGCGGTCTAAAACCATACTAACTCACTTACTAACTAACCACCCATGCACTCCATACGTCATCATAAAGAGAACCATACATTCCAAATTTCAGCTTCCTCATTCTGGTAATTTCAAAGACGTTTACAGATTCAAGACTGCGTTACTTATATAAAGATAATTTGATACCTAACATTACATTTTAGGCATAAATGATCCTTTTTTTCAATATGGCTGCTGTGGCCCTTTAAGTTTTTGAGAAAAAGATTTCTATTTTTGCTCTTGTTTTAACCAAAGATACCTGGATTACAATTCGAATATTTATGGCTTGAAGAAACTGCAACCTCCGTATAGTAACAAACATCCATACAATTTCAGCTGAATCTATCAAGCCGTTTCGGAGTAGTCGAAAAAGTCAAATGTTTGTGGACGACAACGACGGTCGGCTTGTGACGCCACTAGCTTACGTTGCCTATTTTTGGCAGGTGAGCTAATAAGTAGCGATTAGCCCAAAACCTTTGGAACAAGCGCCAGTGACATCTGTAAAGTTGGAAAATGCAAGCTTCATTGGTCTTGTTGTTTAAGAGAAGAATATGTTAAATGGCTTTTTGAATATTTATAATTTTTAATTCAGTTTAGGAAAAGCGCAACGATTATATCTAAATAATTTCAATAAATGGTAAGATCCAAAAACACAAGAGTTGAAAAAAATGAATTTAAACATACTGCATAAAATCACACTGTGATCGATAATATTTACATTGACACCTGTAAAGATAGGTGAGTAATAGTCCATTGTTATTTAAAATAACAATGCAGTTGTAATACCTTCATTGATCCATGCATACAATAAGCCCCAGAGGCTTCACGTGCGGTCGCTGAACCGTTCAGGTGAGCTAAGAAAATCATAACCGCGAGGGACCTAGAAATCAACCGTATAGACTCTATTAAGAGGCGAGGGCACGGGTCGCCCAGTTGTCTAAGCCGCTCAATTCGGTGTGCAGAGTCACGTCCCTTGGCACACCAGAAACCTTTGATCGTAAAAGAGGAAATACGGTAATGATAACGCCCGGGTGCTTATCACGACGGCGATCTTGTCAATATAGTACAGTGACACGTTTGCCGACAAACATGCTACATCCTCCATTTTATAATTATTACTGCTTAATATCTTTTTATTTCTGAAGCGTATATTGCATTCACAGATAAAAACTGGCTTATAAACTGTATGTTGGTTATAACCATGCTCTGAAACACTCTTCCCAAAAGCTCAATACTGTTCACGTTAGAACAAGCTCGACAGGTTTTGAATGGCGCTGTATTGGTAATATTCTGTCAAAATCACGACCGGGGTACACCAGAAATGTCCTTTACCTTCTTACATCAAACCCGGGCGTGACATATAAATATAAAAATGAGATTTCAATATCTATATAACGTACTGATGCTTAACAAAGGACACAGATGGTGCAAGTGGTTTTTTATGTTACATTATTTGCTCGCATTAATCCAGGAAAATCAATTACTCGCAGCTATGTTACTTTAACACTAATGGAGTCTTTGATGGGCATTTAGAAGTTGCATGGGAGAACATGAATACATGACACGTTTTTTTATGGGTAGCAACTTCTTTTATTCTTTATAATATGGATAGCAACTCCCTCATATACATTGTATTATACATATCTTAATATTTTATTCTTTATATTCTATATAAAGGATGCAAGAAGTTGCTATCCATAACAAAAGTGTCGTGTATTTAACATTAATGCTCTATTATATAACATGCTAAACCTGAGCAGTTGTATGATCTGCAATTCCTCTAATATTTCACATAAATTTCACCCGTGAGGTTCAGTTTGAACTAATATTCACCAACCCATGTTTGTCGGGGGCGACTAATGGCTCACTGATTCATGCATGTTGTCGTATCCGAATTGAGTAGATCGATGGCAATCACTGGATTGTCCGTTCCAGGCTCGTTTAACTTATTTCAAGACCGTCGTCTAATGAATCTCATAGAGTTGGAATATTTCTGAGTGCGGCTGTAACAAAAAACAAAACAAAACAAAAAACAAAAAACAAATACATACATTGTACTTCAAAACGTCGACGCTGAGGATTGTATAATGTCACGGTCAGTGTATACACATCTCAGTCAATTTACAAATTCTTTGATTCACTCATTCGCACTGCAAATTGCCTGAAAATGACACTGATGTACTGTATATTGACTGATTTCACGACTAACATTATCACGAATGAGTAAATCTCTATTTGTTTCAGAAATATGGGTAGAAATATCCAGGGATCGGACAAATAAAACGAGAAAAAATTAATGTTAGAGAAAACAATACCATATTTTCGACAAAAAGACAAACTAATAATATTGATTTCATTTATTTTAAGCACAAATTGTTTCCCGAATTATGCGGTAGTGTTTTGTCTCTCAAGTTCAAAATTTTGCTCAAACACGTCGAAATTTAGACAATTTGAAGGTTTCTTTATGTTTTCATTTTTATTTTATGAGCGCTTATGTCGTATCAGAAACGAAAACCAATGATACCGGGATATGTGAAGCAACAGAAGAATCGCCCTACGTGGATCGTCTGCTAGCGAGCACTTGTCAAGAGAGTTATCTCCTCTTGTTTATTTATGGACCAATCAAATCAACAGAAATCCGTCAAGCCCGATCCGATTCAGCATGGTTACAGGACGCTATTCAAGTTCCAGGTGACGTTAAGAAGTTTCCCAGGAAAGATATTATCGGACAACATGGGTTCTCGGATATTACATTCACAATAGCATGAGGTAAGCGGCATTCAGGCTTAACATTTTCACTTATTTCGCTATTCTTCTTCTGAGTTTAAATGTATAAAGAGAAGACTGAGAACTTCAAACAGTGCCTCGGTGGACGGTTTTGATCCGGTGGAGTACTAAATGTAAGGACAGCACATACTGGGGTAGACACTCGTAGATTAGGAAGGAAATCTGCTCCTTGAAAATGACTTCTATTGACCATTTTCGAAGGCAAGGGTATATTGCTCCAAACAAGTGAGCCCAAAATTCCAAAATCAACAATTAGTTTAAGTTCTGTCAGAATATTCTGAACAATAAATTAAAAGAAATACAAACACAATTGTCGAGTCTCTTAAGTTACCAAGTCATATTACAAAGTACCACTTACCAAATCTGGTGATAAGACGTGTTGACTGTACATCTGGCTTAATTTTTTTTATAATCTATTTTATTCGTTTTATTCAAATTTAATTAGATCTAAATAGTGTATATTGTTAACATAAAACATGAATGATATTATCATATTTTCTTGTGTATAATGTACTCATTTTTAAACAAATATTACAGAGCTCCAGATAAGCTTTTGGTGTTGTGGGTATTTTACCCATGCATTTTAAAATCATTGGGTATCAGTAATTCTATCTGGGTATTCAAATTTCTGTTACCCACTAGTTTTTACACATGTGGGTATTTAAGTAAAATATTTAAAAACACTATTCATCTAGTCCCTGCAAACTGGTGTCGTGTTGGTTTGAGAGCTTTATAGGACTCAAAAATATCACGATACTTCCACAAGAAAGTGTGATGGCAAATGATCATGATGTGACTGTCATCGTGGAGTTTGGCAAGGTTGACGGAATGCCCGTTTATAATTTCAAAATAAGTTGCTGATTTGCTAATCAAATACGCAGGGTTACTTCACAATATTTTGATGATACGCACAAGTTTTATTTTTGTAGCGTATCTGTAATGTTCGTTGCGTATTTGATACGCTTGGGTTTTATTTTACAGCGTATTTCTGCATTTCTGATGCGTATTTTATGCAGATACGCAGCTTATCTTGAGCTCTGATATTACCGTTGTGTAGAGTGGAATATGCCTCATACATGCAGACAATACGTTTTGATTACTGTCCCCAAGGAAAGACAGTTTTATAATAACCGCTAGCATAAAACATGGAAAATAGCATGTCAACAAATTTGTATTAAAGCACACAAATTTGTCCTGTTATTACACTATCTGGTGTTCACTGTACATCTGGATTTATGTTTTTTATCTTTTTTATTGATTTCATTTAAATTTAATTCAGTATTGGTGATGTTAATTATTCTAACCCAGATCTTTACGGGTGTATTCATTATACCAGTTATGGCAGCAATTTCAGTTGAGAAGAAGAGAAGAAATATTAAAAATCCACTTAATGTCAGCATTAACGTCAGCAATAATTATTGATATTTGTTTTAGCAACTTTTAAGTCAGTATTACAAATACACATATTCATGTATATTCTTCTGTTTTACAGCTGACTGAATACCACCATGTCTCGAACAGGAAATAAAGGCAAGGCAACTCGGCCTCTTGGATCACTCCGACACAATATCTCGGCACCAGACAAAATACTACACATCCCTCGACTGACAAGCAAGATAGATGGGACGTATCAGGGTATCCAAGGCAACGCAATGTCTGTACCCCCGCCAACATCGCGGGAATCAACTCAGCGGGAAAGTTCTGGAGATGCAGACAAGGGGAAGAATTCTGCCCGATCTACTGGATCATCCAGTGTCAAGTCACAGGACCTTGTGGATAGAAAGGAACTGAAAGATGCTTTAGTAAGTTCTGAAACCAGTATAGATGTATCACAGTATGAAAGATGGGATACAGTTTGTGGCACTTCTTATTCAGACTCGATTATCCAGTGTATTATTTTCCACTAAGCTTTGTTATCAAATGACATCTTCAATGATTCGTCCATGATTCAAACAAGCAATGATATCACCAGTGACACTTCTTATTCAGACTCGATTATCCAGTGATTTATATCTCCATTTTATTGTGATAAATACCTCAGACAAATTCTACACTAAGCTTTGTTATCAAATGATACTAAATTCTTAATTAGACCTGATTATCCGGTGTATTTCTTTTATGATGTCCCGGTTGGGTAGCCTAATGGTTAAAGCGTTCGCTCATCACTCCGAAGACCTGGGTTTGAATCTGGACATGGGTACAATGTGTGATGCCCATTTCTGGTGTCCCCCGCCGTGATATTGCTGGAATATTGCTAAAAGCGGGGTAAAACCATACTCACTCACACAAAAATGCAGGTATGGGAAATATTGAATGGTTGTTGATTGAGTGGGCGAAGGTCGGTGGGTTTTTTTGACGGTAAGCAAGTGAGATGGAGATGTTGATGTCATTTTCAAAGCCAAACTATTATTGATGAATGGGTCCAGGGTATTGATCATTATTGAATGGAGAAGAGTATGAGACCTGTTTAGTGTTGTCATCATCATGTTAACAATGTACTGGTATGCTGAAATGCAATTACTTTAAAATCAAGCCTTTTTCTCCAAATTGATACTTTTCTCTATGAAGATCTGACAGATCCTCCATAAGAGCACAAGTTCGGTGAATCCCTAGCTAACTGAAGGGTGCATAGCCAATCAGATGTCAACTCTCTAAAATTGGCATGCCAGACACCTATGATCCTGGGTTTGAATGCTGGTTCGTCCTGATTAATTTATGTTTCTAGGTTTGTCAGCAGCATTCCCATGCTCCTGGGTTTCCCCGAAGTGGTAAACGTCTCTGACCAGCATCACATCAGGCTTTCCTGCCACTTTAAGCTGACACGCTCTGATATAACAGGAATACTGTTTTAAGCTGTGTTAAATCCAACACACTCTTTTTGGAGAGGGGTTTTGAATTGGACTAAATTTGAATTGCATTGTGTTCTGTTCAACAACAAACACAAACACTCCATATCAACCAACATAGTTTACAACTTGTTTTGAATTGTGTTATGTCGATGAAATTGTTGACACAACTTGTTTATGAAAAAGACACAAGAAAGAAAAATACCCAAATCATATCTATTTTGCTCTGTGTGAAATGTCTTGGTGTATTGTTAGGCAAGAGAGAAGGAACTAAAGCTGATGATTGCAGACCTAGAAAAAATCATTGAGGAGTTACGGGCCCTGCTGGCCTTGCGAGACCAGGAGATAGCTGATCTTCAGGACAAGATCCGGACACAGGTTAGACATTATCAGATGATATAGCATTGATTAGAAGGCTTATAAGGGTCTACTGGAGTCAAATGATTTTATAAGTTTTTGTTTTCCTTTAATCTATTTTTGTATTCAGCTAAAATTTACAATTTTAAATGCTTTGGCTGACAATGGTGTGTTTTCAAGTCCTAAGTGTATCAAGTGAGACTGAATATGCCCCCTTCTGGATCTGTTGCTGGACTTTTGCAAATAATACCTGCATCACTCATTATGAAAATAATGTGATAGGAAAGTTGCTGTGCAGAGTTGCATCCCTTTAGTGAGTCCAGGATCCTATGAATGTAGTTTCAAATCACAGATTTGTCCTGATTATGATCCTTGGTTTGACAGCACCATAGTCATGCTTTTCGGATTCTTCAAGGTGATAAATATCTGAGACTTTCATCATCTAGGGCTTAAATCCCACACAAAGCTGATGTACTGTCAAACAAATAAAATATTTTTCATGGCGACGCAAAACGCAACTCGCACACCAACTACACAGTATCAAGTAACACTGCGCATCACAGTAAAGTGAAACGCTCTCAGTCACTGTGATAACCGTTCAGTCATTCGAGTGAAAAACAATGAAGTTTGCACTCAAGTATATGAAAGTACTTGGGTGACTTCATTGAAAACTTTGAGCCACTTTGAAAATATTTGTTATTGCATAATTTGGGGAATAATTTCAGACATGTTACGGAACCCAGATGTTGATTTTGTAAAATGCTCTCTGATTTGACTATTGATATGTGCGGTAATCCTCTCATATTTTAGCACAGAAAAGATGACTTCAGATGGCAAGGATGGAAACTAGACTTTGATGTAGGATAGTGTACATTCTTTCCTCAGGAAAATGGTTTTCAATAAAACAAAGGGCTTACTTACTTACCTACTTATTTGCTTGTTCAGGGGGAAGAGCACAAGGCTATCCTGCAAAAAGAGAAAAGTAGACACGCAGACACTCAAGCATTACTGGAGGAGACTCGCTCAGAATTGGAGGATGCACAGGATCGGGTAGATGCAATACGCAGAGACATGTCCCTCAAACTCAGTGAACAGAAGACAGAGGTGAGGATGTGTCCCATGTGGCTGTACAATACTCGCTCATCTGTACCTTGTGGGATAATAATAATGATACTGCATATTAATATTTCACCATGTCCACTCCTTATTACCCTGGTCAATGGATCTGTTCACATTTTAATTTTTTCTCAGTTCCCTGGGAAGTGTTCAATGTGTGTAGCTGTCAGGCAGGTTTAGTCATGCATTTGGGAGAGTTGGCAGTGTGGCATTGGTGAAACACTTGCAGAAAGTCAAACATTTGACAACAGCATGGATAGTTGCTCATGCGCCCAGTCTCATTAAAATCAGACCTTAGTTCTCGCTACCGCTAAACAAAGATCTGAGGACATCCCAGTAGAGGTCACGTCAGAACGACCTTTCATCCGACCAATCAGAACGTCGCTTACCAGATCATGAAAGTGACAGTCGGAATGTGATTTCATGCATCCTCGAAAACTTTAACACGGGGTATTCCGAACGACAGTTATAGGTTTAACGACTGAATCCATACAATCTGGACCATCTATTAGCGATTCCAGAATGTTCTTTTGTTCAGGTTTCAAATTTTTGATCGAAAATTTGTCAAAATATGTTTCGAAGCGTTGTCGCCAATTTGAAAATAGTGCCATCAAGCACAAGAAAGCTGCCTTCTGATTGGTCATTCCATTGGTCCGTCAAAGTTCGCGCAAGGTCGGTCTGACGTGACCTGTAATGGAATGTCCTCAGATCTTTGTTTAGCGGTAGAGAGAACTAAGATCTGATTTTAATGAGATTGCTCATGCGCCCAACCACTAGTTTGCCTCGTCCAGACTTGGTTAGTTACTCATGTTATAGCTAGTATACTGTTGACTGCAGCCTGTCATTCACTCACTAACTGGTAACAAAACATTACTGTCATGGTCAATTTATTCCATTATGTGATCTATTGTAGTTGGAGAAAAAATATGCAGAGATGTTGACAGAGAAAGACAAAGAGATCTCGATACGTGATGTCAAACTCAACAGGCTTAAGCAACAGATGGCTGACACTCTGAAGGGAAACTCCTGGTAAGTGGAGTGGACAGGGAGGGGTAAATTGGGCATGGAAGGGTGATGTGGACAGGAAAGGGTCTTTCAGACAGGAGGGGTGTTGTCAGGAGGACTGGGAGATGTCAAATGGGAGGTGAGGGGTCCAGTGGTCAGGGATGGTCAGATGGAAAAGGAGGGGTCAGGAGGACAGCAAGATGTCAGCTGGAAGGGGAGGGGTCAGGAGAACAGGGAGATTGAAGGGGAGCTTGTAAGAAGGAAGGGGAGGGGTCAGGAGGACAGGGAAGGATCAGATGGAAGGGGAGGGGTCAAGTGGACAGGGAAGGATCAGATGGAAGGGGAGGTGTCAGGTGTACAGGGAGATTGTCAGAAGGAAGGGGAGGGGTCAGGAGGACAGGAAAGGATCAGATGGAAGCGGAGGGGTCAAGTGGACAGGGAAGGATCAGATGGAAGGGGAGGTGTCAGGTGTACAGGGAGATTGTCAAAAGGAAGGGGAGGGGTCAGGAGGACAGGAAAGGATCAGATGGAAGCGGAGGAGTCAAGTGGACAGGGAAGGATCAGATGGAAGGGGAGGTGTCAGGTGTACAGGGAGATTGTCAGAAGGAAGGGGAGTGGTCAGGAGGACAGGGAAGGATCAGATGGAAGGGGAGGTGTCAGGTGTACAGGGAGATTGTCAGAAGGAAGGGGAGGGGTCAGGAGGACAGGGAAGGATCAGATGAAAGGGGAGGTTTCAAGTGGACAGGGAAAGATCAGATAGAAGGGGAGATGTCAGATGGAAGGGGAGGTGTCAAGTGGACAGGGAAGGATCAGATGGAAGGGGAGGTGTCAGGTGTACAGGAGATTGTCAGAAGGAAGGGGAGGGGTCAGGAGGACAGGGAAGGATCAGTAGAAGGGGAGGGGTCAGGAGGACAGGGACGAATGAGATGGAAGGGGAGGTGTCAGGTGGACAGGGGGATTGTCAGAAGGAATGGCAGGGGTCAGGAGGACAGGGAAGGATCAGATAGAAGGGGAGGGGTCAGGTGTGCAGGGGGATTGTCAGAAGGAAGGGGAGGGGTCAGGAGGACAGGGAAGGATCAGATGGAAGGGGAGGGGTCAGGAGGTCAGGGACGAATGAGATGGAAGGGGAGGTGTCAGACGGACAGGGAGATTGTCAGAAGGACAGGGTGATGTCAAGTGGGCAGGGAGGGTTCAGGGAGACTTTCAAGGAGTTAGAGTTGTCATTTGACAGCAGAAGGGACTTTTGACACAAACAATTCGTAGTCTACCATTATCCTGATTACATGGTAACAAATTCCCTATCACCATGGTTACATTGAATCTTGCTGTAGGGAACGGCAACAACAGCTGGAGGAGCTGACCAAGGAACTAGCGCGTATTCAGGACGAGGCCGACCTCCTGAGGATGAAACTCAAGGCTTATGCCAAGAACAAGGCGGTACAGTGATTACCCAGTTGTAAAATGAATGGAAGCATTTTGTGCAATCTGATTTGTTGATAGTTGTTGTTGGGATTTCTAACCCCCAATCTTCTGGACTGGGAATATTTTTCTTGATAAGCATCTTTTACTTCTCAACCTCAGATTTAGAAACATGGTAACAGCTTGGTGAAAAGAGTACCACATTCATCATATACTTATTTTCATCAGTATTGATCAAAAGCAATTTTGATTTAGCAGATTCTTCCCTGCATTATGATGACCGCCTCCATGGTCTAATGGTAGAGCGTCCGCCCTGCCGCGCATACAAAAAGACGTTAAAAGATTGTACTTGTTGTTACCCTGTCTGGCGCTCGGCATTAAGGGGCAACAGCAAGGACTGGTTCGCTCGGAGTCAGTATACTGTGTCTGAGTGGGGTATTCATGATAACCTGCTGCATGGTATCCCTGTGGCTTAGTAGCACTATAAATTGGCATCAGTCCGGACCAGTACAAGGAGCCACGCACTCGTGCATGCACGTTGCTATATAAGTGCAAAAAGCTTGGGTGCGACGTTAAACCCAATGTCACCTCACCTCACCTTCCCTGCATTATGCCAACCAGTCATGTTAAATAGTCACGGAAGCATATGATGTCATCCATTATAGCATTTGGTGGGGACATCAGTTTTGCATGGTGATAAACATTTTAGATTTGCCGTTATGAGTTATGAGTATTTGAAGCAAAGATGTGGGGTTTAACATTGCATTCAGGATTATTGCACTTATATAGCAATGTGTGTGTCTGTGCAGGGGGAGGGGCGGTCGGGTAGCCTAGTGGTTAAAGCGTTCGCTCGTCATGCCGAAGACCCGTGTTCGACATGGGTAAAATGTGTGAAGCCCATTTCTGGTGTCCCCCGCCGTGATATTGCTGGAATATTGCTAAAAAGTGGCGTAAAACCATACTCACTCACTCACTCACTGTGCAGGGGGATACTCTATTCTCTAGATCATGGAGGCAGTATAGGCCAGGAAATTTTATTTGCAACAGATTGTGTATGCTCCTACAGGGTTTAACCTTGACTTACAAAAGTAGGGGTCCAGGAGACCCCCAATAATTAATGTTAAGGGTCCTTGCAGGCAATATGAGGGTCCTGAAGTAGTTTAGTGAAATGGTAGTGTAATGTATGTTTAGATAATTACTCTAGAGCCTGGAATGAATGGAAGATCATGTGGACAGTGGTCATAATTGATGGATGAAATGATAGACATTCGTAACTGTTCTTTATTCATTCTACGTCCAATCTTAACATTTGAGCATACTGGACGTACATTTGTGTGTTGCATAAAACCCTGCTCCCAACTTCTACCTCCTGGCATGTAACACTTAACACTTTATGTACAGCTTAATCCCTCTGTGTTTTCATATCTCTGAATTTAACTTGAAACTAGGTTTCAAAATCAGAGCAAATTGGTTGAAACCTGTATTAAAAATCACTTGATCAAACCATCGTGACTTGATACCTTCAGCGATATATTGTATGAGAACTGTTAGTCTTTGATGCAAGTTTGTGATTCAGTGAATGTTTTTTCATGCCAGTCAGCGCTAAAATTGAAATATCATGTTTTGTGACATGCAGTTATCTCCCCTTGTAACTTCTACTACTTTCAGCCTAGTCACCAACAGTCCTCTGCAGAATAGGTTACCCAGTACTACTGCTATTCTTACTGCTACTGGTGCTATAGTGGCTTTACTGCTGCTACAATTTACTATAACTGCTGCTAATACTGCTGCTGCATCTTACTACTACTACTACTACTACTTCCACTATTATTATTATTATTTTTATTATTATTATTATTATACTGCAGCTATCCAGGTACTTATTTTATTTTCATTATTGCTGCTACTATTCCTGCAACTGTTAATATCTATTACCATGACTGCTTCTCTTCTCTTCTGCTTCTGCTTCTGCTTCTGCTCCAACAATGGATGCTGTCATTACAATTCATCAATCCCTTCACGGTAGTCTGCAGTGTGTTGTCTCCCCTTGCAGGGTAGCTGCTCTAACTGCCCCGACATGATGGCCAAGCTGGACCGTGCCCACCTGATGGTGAAGGACAGAGATCACACTGTGAAGGAGCTGAAGGCTGTGTGCAGCAAGATGGAGAAACAGCTGACTCAGCAGGACCAGCTCCTCAAGTCCTGGGCAGACAGCAAGGGCTATAAGGTGCCACCTCCAAAATGACCCACACTGAACTAGTGATTATCAACAGGGACTCATTGCCAGGGTTTGCTGCATGGCTGACAGCATGGAGATATCTTTTGCCTGTCAGCTTGACCAACTCTGCACCAAAGGGTATTACTCACATTGAGATATCATAAAAACATAATATGGACATATTAAGACATGATATTTCTTTCAGAAAGAAAGTGACTTTTATTGAGACAGCTAAGAGGTTCAATATTTCTGTCTGTTGTCTAAATAGATGAACAGAGGAATGCAGAGATTACGTTTTCTGACATTGGTGCATCTCAGATACGTTTAGCAATGGACAATCTTTGATGTCGTTCATTATGCAGATCGCATGCTATATTCTAGCAAGACGTGCCAGCAAAACATGATACATAGATTTGAAAACGAACATGCTCATTCAAGTGAAAATCCTTTGCTTCCCAGATTCATCAGATGAAAAATATTTCTGCCATTGTTGACTCTTGACATTGACAGCTCACCACAGCCAATACATGTAGGTCACATCTACTCATACTACATACCTCCAGGACAGCACAGGGAAGACTTGCCTCCAAGCATGGGACCCATGTGCAGCTCTGTTACACAGACTTTACATACATTGGTTCAGTTTGTTTTATGTTTTCAAGGATATTTTTCTGTCTGCTTGATTCATCTACTCACTGATAGTGAAAACTATTTGTTGATGAATATTTGTTGAGTAAATCAGTTGAGCATTACATTATAGCACAATCATAATTATGTTTCATATTATGTTGGAAGTGAAGTTGAAGGTAATTCTGAGTAAAGTAACATAACCGAGATAAGTGGTTTTGATTTTGTTTGAATCCCAGAATTTATCACATCTATGTTGTATGTAGCTCATTAAATTGCAATTGTTGTATTAATATGTATGCAGTTTGAACTGCAGACTCAACTTATTTGTCGATATCATTTTACATGCCAGTATTTTCTTTGTGCCACATGGTGAAAGAACATTTCATTGTAAACCACATATTTATATGAAGAATGGCTAATACAGCCAACCTCTCCGCCACATCCGTTGAAAACTGTGAAAGATTTTTCATCCAAACTTGGTTCATTTATTACAATGGGCTGAAGTGGTGCCTATTGCTATTGTGGTGGTCGGGGGAATTATTCTGTTATAATATTTTATTGAGATAATTTAACAACTGTTTTTTTTCTGTAAAATATGTTCATTTCAGAGACTAGATGTTAGTCTACCCTCCTCTTTCTCCCCATAAACATTCTTTGCCCCTGTATCCTACCCCTCCCTTTTCTCCACCCATCCCATATTTTATCTGAGAATCTGCAAATGAGGACAAGTCTGGTTCTGGAAACTGGTGTTGGAAATCACAGAAACCACATTATCATGTATCTTCCCTCTAGTCTACAATCTACACAATGTCATGTAGCTAAAGCATGGGATCAGTATTCATGTGATGTATTCAGTGTGTGCCTGTTTGTGAATGTCTTTAGCATAAGTGACACAATACATTACCGGGGTAGTTAATGAAGGTACTTTTTGAAAAGACAGTCTTTGTAAACCAGGCACTGAGGCATCGTGAGGCTGTTTTCACACATCACATATCATCAAATGTTTACATCAACATTGATGCATGCAGGAGTGAATTAAATGACTCAGAACTTCAAACATTCCTCATGCCAAAACAGTTTGATGTGTTTTCTTTGTCATTGACAAAATGTTATTGATTGTTGTATATACCACCATACGTTATACAATTCATTGCAAACCAGTGGTATACTTCCTGTTGTACTTTGTTATAGTTATTTTTGTAAATGTAGTTTCGTTGCTATATTTTTATTGGCCTGGCAAACCTGGAGTAGTAAATAACAGAAACACAAACACCTGGAATATAATCAAGCACTGCTAACTACAGCTTTCGATATTAAATAGGTGGCTCTTAGTCTGGTAGGCATATGATCTTTGAAGTAAGCTGTGATATTATAATAATAATAATTTGTACAGCACTCAAATGTCGTGAAGTGCTCATTGGCACTTTGAAATATACTAGGGTCATGATTAGCAATTGGATATGCATAGCAGGTGGGTTGTGCGGATTTGAAGGCTGGTATTTAATGCTGAGGTTCTGATAGAAAGAGGAAGGTTGTTCCAAGGCATAGATCTGCTGTTGTCCTGATAGAAAGAGGAAGGTTGTTCCAAGGCATAGATCTGCTGTTGTGCTGATAGAAAGAGCAAGGTTGTTCCAAGGCATAGATCTGCTGTTGTGCTGATAGAAATATCTGGATCCTGGATTGTTGCAATTTTGACAATGTTGTCCTCAGGCTCTCAATAGTTCCCATAGTAACCATAGTCACTATAGTACCAGTAAGTTGTAAAAACAGTACTAAATAGTTATGTTTTAATCATGTCTTCTTGATTTATCATATGGTAATACATTTAATATATAACATAAGTAATAATGTTGCATTAATGGCTATTCATTCAGTCACAGTTACCATGCAGAGTTGTCTCCTAAGGAGCTCCAGGATCTGCTGATGTCGGTTGAAATCCCAGATCTGTGTCACTATGGGTTTTTTTCTCCCATATTAAGTTGACGCACATTGGTTCTGACTGCTTTCCTGTATTCAGAGTATCTAACATTTTCAAAGCTATCTTTTTCATCTTAATGTCCTTATAAAGAAAGGAGAGAGTCATTGTGTATTCTAGTGCACTTGTTCTTATCTGGTATAACATAAGTTCATCATTCCCAATAGAGGTGTATAGGGAACTCACTTCCATTGTCAACAGTTTGGCATAAAAGAATAACAAATAATAACAAACTACTTAAAACATTTCAACCTCAATTATTGATAAAACTTTTATGTATAAGAAAACATCCAAATTTAAGTTGCAGTATGCTAATATTTTCATGCACTTTTGACAGCAGTAGAAACTAAGAGTTTTAGCCAACTAGTCCTTATAATGGTAACATAGCAAAACCCTGAAAAAGGACAAATTTCTACTTGTCCTTAGGATACCTTGACTATTGGGCAGTTTGGCAAGGACTATAGGACTAGTGCCAGTTTCTAACACTGCTTTAATATTTCCCTAAGTTCTAACATGCAGTGACATTTAGTTGATGACATCACTCAAAACACAATGCACTGACATCATTGTTTAGAACATTGTGGTCCTACTCGCATTCCATCTTCCCGAGGCAAGAAAGTTAGCTGACTATAAAAGTCAAGTTTCCACCCTTGCCGAACTAGGCTGGTATTATGAAGTTAGATTATGGCTGGACTAATGAGTCCATGCATAGTCCAATCAAAATCGTGCAATGAAAACAAAATCTGGTTCGTAAACTGAAATGCAGATTTCGGTTGATTGCAGGGTTTGCAAAGCATGTGCACCGCCAACTTGTAATAGCCACTGGTGGCGCTTTGATCGAGCCCAGGAATTCCAGCCTAGTTCGGCAAGGGTGGAAACTGGACTTTTAAAATCAGTTAACCTTCTTGCCTCAGGAAGGTGCTCGCATTCACCCTAAAATTGATCTAAAATTCAATGTAGGAGCTCGGAGAAAAATAAAATTAATTTTCAACTTACACATTAGTATGTTTATTTGTTGTTTAATGCCGCACTCAACAATATTCAAGCTATATCACGGCAGTCTGTAAAAAACAGTCTGGACCAGACAATCCAGTGATTGACATCATGAGCATCGATCTACGCAATTCAACATTACTACTGCGAATGAAAAACAAACTCGTAGGTCCATCACAGAAGTATGATTGTGAGATGATACAGAAAGATGAGATTGTTTTTTCTCTCTTTAGAATAAACTTTTTAATACATATTAATCACCATTTCTTACAAATAGTAGTGTTAGAATTTATTCATTTCACTTATTTGTAAAATAGTGTACAACAAATAAAATTGAGTCATGTTATTTATATTTTCAGGAATTTTTGTCAGCTGGTCTTGTAAACCTACGACAAAATAACATAAGGCCTAAAAAGGTATTTTTACAAGTAAAATGATGAACAACACACTTTGTATGGAGACCAATGCATCCTTTACAGACTGCCAAGCACTGACATAAGCAGGCACTGTATCCAGATATAACTGAATACTGCAGAGGTTGTGTATGCTATATACTGCAGAGGTTGTGTATGCTATATACTGCAGGACTACATGAGCTAACGCTACTGGTGTCTTTAATTGGAAAATTTAGTATCGATTTATTGACTCAAAAGTATCACAATATATTGACTAATAAGTTTCATTATTCTGCATGTGCATAAATAAACATTACAAACATAGACCTACAAGTTAATTCTAAATATAAACCAAAATATTGCCTTCTTGTTGTCCATTTCAACAATGGTAATCATGAAGGTGAAAGTTTTCATGGCAGTGAATGATTAGTTTTTTATATCTATACATATATGAGGGCACGGGTTGCCCAGTCGTCTAAGGCGCCGCGATTTGCTGTGCAGAGTTGCGTCCCTTGGGCATGCCAGAAACCTATGCTCATGAGTCCGAATCCCGTTTCACCCCGATTATGTTTCTAGGTTTGTCTGCACCATACTCGTGCTCGTGGGTTTCTCCGAAGTGGTAAACGTCCGAGACCTGCATCACTTCGGGCTTTCCTCCCACATTAAGCTGATCACCACGATATAACTGAAATACTGTTAAAAGCTGCATGAAACCAAACTCACTCACTATTCATAAATTTGTATGGATACAGTATTAACATAATACCGAAAAAAATTGATATGATATACAATGACACTGTTACCTATGTTGTACTGTCATCATTCTGTGTAATGTACTGAAGTTGGTTCCACAAATTTGTGATGTTGTCAATTTTCCATTGCTTGCTTTTTATTTTATGGCCATCATAAACAATAGATTTTCATCCTCATATCACCACCCCATACCATTTTATTGTCCCCAAGTAGCGAAAGTCTTGACTCTTGACATGTTGTCTTTAGTCATTGGATGAAAATATTCAAATATGGTGTACACATAATTATGTCTTGATTATTTTGCTAACAAAAATAAATGCCTTAAAATTAAATAAAAAGGCTGCTACTACCGGTATATGTTGTGTTTCACTGAAAAGACACAGGCAGTAATTGGAAATTGAAAACATCACAACCACTAGCCAGTAATTGAACTGCTGTCCATCCGTCCATCCTAACAATTGGTACGTGGGTGTGCCTAACTGTGATAAATGTTGATCTTGTGTTCCTTAATCAGGAATTAACATGGTAAAGGATTGAACATATTTTAAGAATATTTACATTTTTACATTTACTTTTATTCATTTAATGATTCATTATTTCTGATTTCAACCATTTCTTAATTCATGAAATAAAGAAATACAGACTACAGGTACAGTGTTTTAATATCATATTTACAACCATATATACAGTGAATCATGTTACAGATGGCAATATGATAGGCCAGGACTCTGCAGGCTCCATATCCTGGCAAACCAGCGGCTCCAGTTCAACATCTGTTCTGTAGGAGTTATGTGGGACTCTTCGGGCGGACTGTCTCAATTGTGGCTGAATTAAAAAGCCATTGCTACATGGCATCATTTAGACAATAATTTCATGTAGGATATGACACCATGCCGACAGTGACATCATCAGGATAAATAGATGTACAGAGAAAACTAACAGTTTCAGTCTGGACATGTAGTAGTTTGGTAACGTGTCATACATTTGAGAATCTGCACTTGATATCTAAATGACATCATACAATTGACATGCTTTGCTTGTCTTAAGAGGTGACTAACGGGATTAGGTGGTCAGACTCGCTGACTTGGTTGAAGCATGTCATCGATCTCAATTGCATGGATCGAGGCTTATGATATCAATCACTGGATTGTCTGGTCCAGACTTGATTATTTACAGACTGCTGTCATATAGCTGGAATATTGCTGAGTGCGGTGTAAAACAACAAACCAAACCAAAATCATACAATTGACTTCAAAATCGGCCATGACAACGCGCTTTCTGAGTCTGGCAAATAAAAATAAAAATAACCACATGAGCCGACACTTGCAGCAAACATGCCCAACCTCTGTACAGGCATCATTCCTGAAGACCAGAAGAGCCGACACTTCAAGAAACATATCCATCCTGTTGTACTAGCTTCACTCCAGAAGAGCAAACCATTCCAGCAAGGATGTCCATCTTCTTGTACTAGCATCACTGCTGTAGACCAGAAGAGCCACCTCTCTTTCAACCTCATGCTGCTTGAGACACCATGCTCCAACTCACATCAAAATAGACACACACAAGAGAGCTTCTATTCTCCTTGGTCATACCCACTGTCCACATTCTCCTCCGCTGGGTCAAGGTCTTCTGGGTCCTGAAAGTAAAACAAGGAGCGAGTGAGTGCTGTTTTACGCCAAAGTCAGCAATATTCCAGCTATAACCCAGTGAACTGTAAACTAACAAGCCTGGACCAGAAAACCAGTGGTTGTAATGGAGAAACATCACACATCATCAGGATTATCACAAGCAACTAATCGGTTACTTAACATGAAATGGAATATGACTAGTGGAATTCTGTAAAGAACTCTGCATGGAGTGTAATAGCACACTGTCCAAACAAGCAACCCTGTCTCCAGCTTGTCCCTATACCATAAAATCAGCATCAACCTACAGACCTGGAACCTACAGACCGGTACCTTCAGACTGCCCACCTGCAGACCGGTACCTTAAGACTGGCCACCTACAGACTGGTACCTTCAGATTGGGCACCTACAGACCAGTACCTTCAGACTGGCCACCTACAGACCGGTACCTTCAGACTGGGCACCTACAGACCAGTACCTTCAGACTGGCCACCTACAGATTGGGCACCTACAGACCGGTACCTTCAGACTGGCCACCTTCAGACAGGTACCTTCAGACTGGCCACCTACAGATTGGGCACCTACAGACCGGTACCTTCAGACTGGCCACCTACAGACCGGTACCTTCAGATTGGGCACTTACAGACCGGTACCTACCCTGGGTTCTCGAGGCTCCAGCTCATCCCCGTACTGTATGGCCAGGTCTATCTGCAACAGGATGTCGTTGATGCTCTCCTCATCCGTGATGTCCAGGGGCAGGAACTTCACCAGGCTGTAGTCGTCCACCTGGTCAGTGAGTGAATGTTGTGTTACATCACAGTCAGCAATCTCACAGTTCTATCACAGCCTGCAATATTTGAGCCACAGCCAGGCAAACGAGAGACTGTCAGCAGTGAAGTGAATGTGTTGTTTTATGCCACACTCAGGAATAGTTTAGCAATATCACAGCAGTTTGTACAACAAACTCCAGGCTTGTTTGTTAGCATAAGCAAAGAACCATTGGTGGTATGATGACACATAACCAGCCTTGCCGTACTGTGATCCTTATAAACTTGTGAAACTAAATCACACTCAAATCAGATTTGATACCTCTCTCTGTCGAGATCTGACAAGACTCCCATAGGAGGTCATTTTGGGTGAACTTTTCATTCATCCAGTCAAGGCTTCGAAACTCCTTGCACATGCAAGCGAAGCATTCAGAGCAGTAAATCTTGCTTTTGTAGTTAAAGAAATTTAAGGAAACGGGCAGTTCAGAATGGATAATAATTGTAGAATTTTCCTATTCGGAATATTCTATAAGTAATACGTTACCACTGTTATACCGAGGCTGTTGTCTCCCACAACTGCTGCTATAGCGAAATCTACCACAGAGATCTCAATTACCTCATGCAGCACGTGCGTAGCCACCTAGCTGCCATGTGACACCCTTCACTCTTGTCTCCTGCGAGAGCAAGTGCTCGGGGGACGGACGGGCGGGCAGCAGCCCAGTGGTAACGTATTACTTATAGAATATTCCGAATAGGAAAATTCTACAAATTACATTAAGTAATACGTTACCACTGTTATACCGAGGCTGACTACCACAGTAGGCGGTGGGGAGCACCTACAACCCGAATCCTGACTGCTAGCGTTCCTTCCGACCAGCGGAAGTAAACACCAAGGCGGAAGCACTCGATGCGCATGCACCTAGCTAGGCGTTACCCTATAGGAATACCAAAGCACTGTCAAGCGCATACCGTAAGGCTCAATCGTCATTGCCAAAACGATTGGTGACTCCAAACGGCCCCACTGGATAGGTATTTCATCGCCGCAGCGGATGAGAACACTGTATCCGCGTGAGCTTAATCTTAGATCAGGTTAAACAGTCGAAAAGAGGGAAATTAATTTCATTCAGACCGTATATCCCAGAGCAAGCCTACTTAAAGTATGCATTAGGCGCGTGACCTAATTCCAGTATTTGTAAGCATGCATCACAAGGTTGGGATACACGACAGACAATTAAAGACATAATTGTCAAAATACAAATAAGGACAAAGCACACAAAAAGCCGCCCTCACCTGTGGTGTGAGTGCGCTGGTTTGCGGGACCCCAACTCCTGTACCCACGGCAGTGGGAACATTGGAGTAGACCCAGATTGACCACCGTGCAAGGTCAGACGCCTGAGGAGTTCGGAATTGCGCTGGGCACACCCCTTAGGTGCCCGCTTGCGCCGCGATCCGCGGGCCAAGACGGTGCACACTCTCCACGACGGCATCAGCGACCTGTTTGAGGTAATGATTGGCAAAAACCGAGTCAGAACGCCAGTAACAACCTCGTAATATTCTGCGAACAGAGATATTCGAGTGTAGGGCAAATGTTGCCGCTAGCGCCCTGATCTCGTGCGGGTTTGACCCCGCTACCGGTAACCCCCGAGACCGGTACGCCAGATTGATGACAGAACGAAGCCACAACGCAATCGAGTTGCGAGGTATGGCAACCGTGCGATTAGGGTTACACGATATGAACAGACGGTCACGCCCTTGTCTACGTTCATTCGAAGCCTTAAGATAATACTTAAGGGCCCTAACCGGACACAGCGCTCTGTCCTCAGTATCAGCAGGATGTAAGATTTCTTTGAGTGATCTTACAGTGAATTCTCTCTCCGTTTGCCCGACTCTCTGATTCTTGGCGACGAAGCCCATGAGCAGGCCCAGGCGGACCGCTCCTTCGTCACCCCTATCGAATCGTACCTTGGCGACATCGAGTGCATGAATTTTGGATACACGTGCCGCCGTGGCAAAGGAGAGGAGAAATGCTGTTTTCCAAGTCACATGCCGGAACGAAGCACTATGCAAGGGTTCATACGGAGCTTCCGTAAGTGATTGCAACACTAGGGAAAGATCCCAGGCCGGTGCCCGAAGGCGGCCCTTCTTAAGATCGTGCTGTTTGAAACCCTTGATAATACCCCGTATCACCGGCTCTTTGGAGAGACTGGTACCCATAGCAACGTCCCGTACCGTAGCAACGGACGAGACATAGTTGGCAATGGAACCCCCGGAGAGTTTCCGGGTCTCTCGCAAGTGAGACATGAAACGAGCAATATCCTGCACAGATACCTTATCTGGCGAATGAATGTGATGTTTACAACACCACTTCGTGAAAATAACCCAACGTGCATTATACACCTTCTGGGTAGAATCACGATGCATACTAACGTATGCCCGAGACGCCCGGCGAGAAAAAACTTTACTCCTCAGACGCTCGGTGACAACATCCACGCGTGCAGATTGAACTGCCCTGCGTTTGGATGAAGCTGACGGGTGTGAGGGTGGATCAAGAGATCCGGTCTCACAGGCAGTGGAAGTGGCGACTGCGTGACCTGGGTCAGCAAGTCGGGGTACCACGATCTGTTCGGCCACATGGGCGCGATCAGTAACATTCGACAGCGAACTCCTCGGAGCCGGCTTAGAATGTGTGGTATCAATGCTGTCGGCGGGTAAGCATAAGCGACCAAGCCCGTCCAGTCTAACGCGAGAGCATCGTGATCGATGGCCCTCGGGACCGGGACTGGTGATACAAACAACGGGAGTTGATTGTTGAACCGCGTTGCGAACAGGTCGACCATCGGACGACCCAAACGTTCGCACAGCCACTGAAACACTACTGGGTTCAGCATCCACTCTGTGGGGCTCGGATCCTGAGGCCTCGATAGAGCATCGGCCAGTACGTTCCGCACACCTGGGATGTGACGGGCGCGTATCTGGCACGGGACACTGTCCACCAGAGCGTAAAACTCGAACGTGAGATCGAGTAGCGAGTGACTGTGGGTTCCCCCCAGTTTGTTCACATAGGACACTACCGTCGTGTTGTCGGTCGCCAGCATGAGCCGGGCGTCGACGAGACGATGCTTCCAGTGATTGACTGCGTTGATCACTGCCTTGAACTCGAGACAAGTGATGTGAAGACCTAGTTCGTCTAAGCACCACAGCCCCGAGCTCACCTCCCCCTTTAGATGGGCGCCCCAGCCCACTAGAGAGGCGTCTGTATACAGGGTCAACGTGGCCCGGTAGGGCCGCATAGAGACTCCTGATAAGACAATGTAAGGGACCGTCCACCACTCCAGATGCGGTCGGAGCCGATCCGGGAGGGCGACGGTCGCACTGTTCACCTCCGTTGCTAACAACTGGATTAAAAACCGTTGCAGCGGGCGGAGTTGGAGACGACCCCGTGCGGTGCAGTCCTGGGCTGATACAAGTAGCCCTAACAGCAGTTCCCAAAAGTGAACAGTCTGTTGCACCGCTAAGACTTTGGCAATCATCGCCTGAATTTTGTGCCACCGGTCTGGGGGGACAAAGAGGCGATGGGACACCGTGTTGAACCGACCTCCGATGAACAGCAAGTTCTGAGAAGGGGTTAACTCGCTCTTGGGGAGATTGATAATCCACCCAAATTGCTCCAAGAGCCGACGTGCGAAATCGAGATGGCGTGACAGGGTGTCCGTCATTCGATTTGCTACTAGCGAGTCGTCCAGGTACGCGAAGTACCGGACACCCCTCCTGTGGAGGAACCCCACTATGGGGGTGGTTAACCGGGTGAACAGCCAGGGAGCGGACGTGTGAATCATTCTGAGTTCGGCACTGTCCTACTTGGGAACGAGAAATATCCTGGAGTAAAACCCCGGTGTTATTTCTGGTAGAGCTAACTCCCGTACTGCCCCTTCTCCACCAACCTGCCGATGGCATCGGCGAGGATGGGAAGATCGGTTTCCGAATCGAAACCTGCCAACGGGGCAACGGTGAGCGGCGGATTCGCTTTGAGATCAAGCCGATAGCCGTACCGAATCGTGTTGACCACCCACGGGTCGTCGAACACTTGTTCCCAATTCTCCCAGTAAGTCTGGAGTCTGGCTCCCACTGGGGAAGGAGAGGGGGCCCTGACAGGTTGCGACAGGCGCAACTGTCCAGGGCCAAGTGACTCGGGTTCGCCTAAGGGCCAACCGAAGTTGGCGCTGTCGGCATACGAACCCCTCCAATGAGAGTCACCTGGAGGGGCCCTTGCCGTCCGTCGACGACTTGGGCTTCCCCCAGTTCCCCGTCTTCCCGCGAAAGGGCAGCTGATTGCCCATACCGGAGCCCTCAGGGCGGGGCTACTTCCCAGAGGAAGAAGAACCCGACCCCTTAGACCTACAGGCCGCAGCAGCCTGGGGCGCGCTCCGGTTAGGAGCGGCACCCAGGCGCCTATGCAGGGACCTAACAAGAGCAAGTGTGTGCCGAGAGTCCTCGGCAACGTACTCCAGGGAAGCATTTAAACTGAGCAGGCAGTTGTAAAATGCGCTGGTCACGGTCCGTGGGAGAACCTTCGACCAGACGGGCCGCTGCAGCCAAGTAAGTGTCTCCGTGAGACATGGAGTGCCGAGCGAGGGCGTCCAGCTGGTGCAAGGTAGCTTGCGTTACCGTAGCAGCCGGTGGGGCACGGACACCCAACCGCTCAACATGGGCCTCCGCGGTAGGACCAGCCTCGGGAAAGGCAAGGTCATGTACCGGGAATAAACCCTTTCTCCACGACGTCGGAGGCAACGGGAGACCCCGACCGGAGGCCGCCGCGAAGGCGTTCTCCAAGGAAGGCTTGAAACCGCGCAGCAAGGTTGATGCGGGGAAAGCCGTGTCGGAAGACTCATCGTATACCTCGGAGGAACCCACAATCGTGGATTCCCCGCGGTACCGGCCGGGGCATGTCCTCAAAGAGGTCATAAACCATGGCCACGCGGTCCTAAACCGATAGCGGGAGCAACGGTTCGGGGGAAGGACCGGTGACCACGGGAGCCGCCGCCGTACCGGTGGACCCCGCGTCCGACCCCGCGGCCACCGAAGTGGCCGGGGACGGAACAGCCAGCGGCCTATCCTGAGATAAGGCCGCCAGCTTGGAGTCCACAAGTTATGCAAGTAATGCAGCGACGGAATCCCCGGACAGCACACGGGCCGCCAAGAGATCCGCCGCTTTACCGGTGGACCCCGCGTCCGACCCCGCGGCCACCGAAGAGGCCGGGGACGGAACAGCCAGCGGCCTATCTTGCGATAAGGCCGCCAGCTTGGAATCCACAAGTTTCGACAACAATGCGGCGACGGAATCCCCAGACAGCCCGAGGGCCGCAAGGGGATCCGCCGCAGCCGAGGAGGTGGTACCCGCACGGGGACCCCGACCGGACGAACCGGCCACCACAGGGGTGGAGACGGACTGTACGTACAGCCGGTACCGCTCAAAATCCGCAGGCCCCAGACCTTCGCACAGGATGCACCGGGTGTCCCCGCAAGGAACCCTGCACCGCGGGCAACGATCGTGGGGATCCCGGGACGACAAAAACTTTCTGCACACCCCATAACTCCGAGGAGCAGGGGTAGAGGGGGTGGATACTGGGGACATATCCATGTCAGACATTGATTGTTTGCTATAAACAAAGAACAAAACATGGTTACAACGCACGCACCACAATGATTCACAAACGAACATTTTCACAAGAAAATAAACGAGCAATGTGAACATATAACATACACATATAACTTTTATTAAAGAAATAAGTTATGTTAACCCCCAAAACATACAAGAACAGGGGAAACGTAAAACACAACGTGCATACGCGAACCCCGCAAGTATATAGAAAAAAGGGCGGGAAAAATTTTCCGTTTGGCGGGAAAATTATAACCAAGCGTAGCTACCGCAACGCCCCATAAAAGCACAGTTTATTAGAGAATAAACTATAATAAATATCACCAAATCTTCAAGGAACGCTTCAGCAGGAGAAAACACGTCTTGCTAAGCAGACGAAGGAGACAAGAGTGAAGGGTGTCACATGGCAGCTAGGTGGCTACGCACGTGCTGCATGAGGTAATTGAGATCTCTGTGGTAGATTTCGCTATAGCAGCAGTTGTGGGAGACAACAGCCTCGGTATAACAGTGGTAACGTATTACTTAATGTAATATAAGGCCACATTTTGCTGTGGATATTTTACACCCTGTCATTTCAGTTGCATCTTTCAATCATCAAAATTTCTTTTAGCTGTGAGTTTGATTTCCATACTCCCCAGGGAGCTGGGAATGAGTGCACACTGATCTACTAACTGGGGTAATAATGTATCGCTTTGAGCATGGTTTAGGGTGTGGACTTGGTGCATTATAAATATGCATATTATTAGTAGTATTACTCCAAACAGTAAACCTGCCCAAAGATGCTGTTCAGAGACAGATATCAAGGTATTTAATATCTGATTATGATGAGATTGATGAAACTAAAAGCTTTTCTTAGATATCAGATAAACTTTGTATCAGACAAAAATTGATAACATGGTTTGTTTAATGACTTCCATAAATTATTTTCTAATTTTCTTAAGTCTTGCAATTGGGATATCTGACAAACATCATCAGCAACTGGACAATATCCCTTATAACTCCCTATGTTAATCACCCTTACTCTTCGGCAATATCTTGGCGATGTATCACCAGATAGTACAGAAGATTACTCACCAGCTTCGCTACAGCTTGGTTGAGTTTCTTGAATCTGTGGCTGAATTTCTCGTCCATGAATTCTTCCTGAAGCAAGGTTTCCATGTCTGGGTCCAGGTACCTGCAGAATACACAGACTTGAACAACTAACAAAGAAATTACAATGAAGCTCTGAGGATTTGTGTTTGGGTCTTGTGACTTACAATCATGGGACTTGCTTAATTGTCTACTGTCTCAGTTTACTGTGCTCGTGGTAGAGACAACTAATGGGACTAGGTCGTCAAGCCCACTGACTTTATTGATCAACATCATCATTATCATATCCCAATTGTAGATCGATGCTCATGTCAATCACTGGATTGTCTGGTCCAGACTTGATTTTTTACAGACCGACGTCATATAGCTGGAATATTGCTGAATGCAGTGTTAAACAATAAAGAAGAACAACAATGCCCAACACTAAGGATGATATGTACCAAATTTCATTCCTCTGAACACATAAGCAGTTTGTAAATATTTTCAAGTCTGGACCAGACAATCCAGTGATTGACATCATGAGCATCGATCTATGCCATTGGGATATTATGACATCAATTAATCAAGTCAGCGAAACACAAGTCAAGTTCTCGCTAACATAATACAGTTTTTAGTGTATGAACTTGAGAGTGAATCTGATCTCACCTGTCCAAGTCTTTCTTGGCCTTCTTACTGAGCAGGTCCAGTTTTGTGAGGATATTGACGTGAGTGATCTCCATGTTCACCATCGTGGACAACGCCGTCAGCACACCTGATGTGAACTTGGACGCCTCTATCATGAACTGGGAGTCGATGAGGAACACGCCACACACACGGAAGTTCCAGTTCTGCAAGGCTTCCACCAACTGCTTCATGGCTGGGATGTGTGTGTACAATTCAATCTGACCTGAAAAGAATCAATGGATTGAAATTTTGATTCTCCAGGTACCTGGACCCCGATATAGAAATCTTGCTACACGAAGGATTCATTAACAAGTACACACCTCAAAGTTTGTTTGTTTTACTCTGATTTAGTTTGTTTGTTTGTTTGTTGTTTAATGTCGCACTTAGCAATATTTTAAGTATGTAACAGGGTTCAGTGAATAATCGAGTCTGGACCAGACAATCCCATGAAAACACAAATAACTGGCATGTTCTTAGTTACTTCTTCTGTAGCACAGTCCTGATAATATAAAAATTTATCCCATTAAAACAATCAATGCACAGAAGTCCAACACTGACTTAACACAGAGAAGATTGAGACACTAGAGTTGGACTTTTGAACATGAAGGGGTATAGACCACAATCTAGAGGTTAGAAAAGGAGGTGTCTCGTATTTGAATACGACTTTCTGGATTTGGACAATTTGGTTTGCGATTTCCAGGATATCTGAGCCTCTCACTTACCGGGACAGTCAAAGATGATGTAGTCGTCTTCGACGTCATCCAACTGTTCACGGAGCCAGTCCAGGTTCTGTACCAGGTACCTGAAGTACAGACATGTGCGATATAAACAGTCTTATCATACCTCCATGTCAGAATGATGAGATCTGATTGGTTCACGTTATCTTGATAAAATACTTTGTATCCTGCCTTGAAATGAAATAAATTTCTCGGTGTGAGAATAAATCCCTTATACTCCAACATGAGCAAGACAGGCTGCACATGGATTTCTGAGAGGATGAATAAATCCCTTATACCCCGCTTCGAAGCAAAAAGCTGCACACCTTTTCCATGTCAATGAAAGTCACGTGACATAGCACAAGCTAACCTCCGCTCAACCAAACAGCTGTTTTCTATCAATTTTGAATTTGTTTTAATTCTCTGTCCTATGAATACATGTCGGAAAGATAAATTCATTGTAGCAGGATCACTCAGGGTACATGGGGTTTTATGTGTCAATTGTTAGGTTAGAACATTGTTACAACATTGATCTACAATATACGAACGATTATAGTGAACAAGATATATCATATAGCATGTGACAGTCCATCTTCCCGAGGCAAGAGCGTTAACTGACTTTAAAAGTCCAGTTTCCACCCTTGCCGAACTAGGCTGGAATTCCTGGGCTCAATCGTAGCGCCACCAGTGGCTATTACGAGTTATGTCCTTTCTATGCCTCTCCTATTGACCAATCAGATTCAACCTCTTGTATCACTTGCATTTGCTTCAAACAAAACGGTGGCGCCCAGTCAAGACGATCTGGTCGATAATCAAGATCTATATTGTGATAAAACGCGTCTTACATCGCGAAGTGCATTAAATCAGGTGAGCACCTTGATTAAAAACATGAAAAGATTTAGAAAATATCTGTTGACAACGAGTTAGCGGTGCACATGCTTTGCAAATCCTGCAGTCGACCGAAATCTGCATGACACTTTACGAACCGGATTTCGATTTCGGTGCGGGATTTTGATTGGACTATGCATAGACTCGTTAGTCCAGCCAAAATGTAACTCCATAATACCAGCCTAGCTTGGCAAGGGTGGAAACTGGACTTTTATAGTCAGTTAACTCACTTGCCTCGGGAAGATGGTGACAGTCTAGATACAGAGGTGTACTTACTCCATACAGAAGATCAGGCCTCCATTTGGACCAAACTGGAGGGCTTCATCCTCCATGGCATCATCAATGTGAATTAGCTCACGCACATCTGCAAGGGGAGTAAAGACATTTAAAATTGTGTCAGCAATGTTGAAACTGATCAGAGATGACGAGCTGGGACTATGATCAGATGTTGTCTGAATGCAACTTAAAGGTAGCTCATTCAAAGTGCTGCTTAATCTCGTGATGGGAACCTATTGAATCAGTGCTATTTAGACCCGTTAATCCGACAGTCTCGCATTCCGCCTCCGACACACCGCATTTGCAACGAATTACCGAAACTTGCTTTACAATAAACAATTAATTCTTTAAATAAGAAAACAGGATTAATCACATACTTTGATTACCCCAATCTCATTAAAATAAGATACAAGTTCTCGCTATCGCCAAGGACAACACATTACAGGTCACATCAGAACAACCTTTCGTGAACTATGACCGAACGTTGATACTACTTAATTTCATATACTTGTTAATCCGACATAATCATATGCAACCAACATTGTCAGATTAACAGGACTTGACTGTATCTAGGTCACGTGTTACTGTTACTTTAGGTCTTCGATGCATTCTTTTAAGACATTGAGATAGTCACCTGCAAGGACTGGGTAGTCAAACTGTTCAGCAGCAGGGTCCAAGTTAACCACATGGACCGTCCGCCCCAACACCTCACAGTGCTTCACCATGTTGCTGCAGTACGTGGACTGGAACATAGGTTACAGGTTGCCATAGTTACTCCAGAGTTTCGACATCATAGCTATCAACATCAAAAACATATGTCAGTTTGGCTCAGCTCTTTGTTGTATACCATTGTTATTATATACAGATTCTCATTCCTCGATCCTTTGATAGGTGTTGCTTCGTGCAGCATAGTGAGAATAGTTTCTCTATCGACCTGAACTAGACGGTCTGCATATTCATGATGACAAACAAGGTAACGACGTGACGTTGTCAGCACAGTTTTCCCGCAATGTGGTCAAAAATGTTTAGGATATTTTAAGGGCCATAACGCCATACTTTGCAATACATACTTCAAAATACTTCATAAACAAATTTTATCAAGTTTTGTGGAGAAAATGATTACAGCGAATGCGACAAAAGGCAAACAATCAGGTGCTGATGACTTGGTAAACGAGAACTAGTTATTTATGATAGTGCGCATGGTCCCGTGGTACGGTGTTGACTAATTACACAAATTCATTAGACCAAATTAACTTTAAGCTGGTAACTTGAGGTCCATCCGCTACGCGGCGCTTATTGAAATCCGAAAGTTGTGCCCGGCAAAGTGCACTTCTCCCTTTATGTCTTGCTTACAGCATTTGTCATTGTGGTTTCGAATGATTTATAGTAAGCTATCTGAGGTTTGATAAAAAGGTAATAAAAATTAATATCTTCCAGTTCCACCTGTGTGGTCCAGAGGCCAGTGTAGATCTACATAGTTCTTACCTTACCACTTCCAGCCGGCCCCATTACCAGCTGAGCAAACCTTGTCATAATGGCGTGTTTGTCGTATAAAAAAATCTAAATATTCGATTCGATCATCACCATGTCTTCGTAAATTCGTCAACATCGGTTTCGACACACGCCTCGTTGTTTACTTGCTCGCGACATGTTCAACTTCCGTTCTCCATGCCCCATATATAATTCACAAACTATTGTTTTGGCATTGTACAATAACATTAGAGTTTTATTATTACAGATTATATACATGAATGATGTTATGAGCTTGTTCAACCATAATATCAATAACATTGTTTTCTTAACACATGGGCTTAAATCATTGAAAAATGTCACGTGATGAGCAGGAAGTAAGGTAAGCGGAAGGAAGAAGTGCTGCTTTGGGCGGAGGTGGGTCTCTGACTAATATTTCAACGTTTGTAGAAAGCAGATTTCAAGATGCCAGTAAGTATAAACATTCCATACAGGAACCAACTCTTTCTCTCATAAACTGAAGCGTATTCGTGTCCTGCCAATGATTGTGATCACTATTTCATTTCTCTGCAAATGGACGTTTACATGTTGTCCCAGGCCTACCAGGAAGACATTCATTCTTAATCTGTCAGTTTATCATGTTCATAATCATATTAACAAAGTTGAGTTTATCTTCCAACCATAATATTTGAATAAGCATATGAGGAATAATCGTCAAATATAATGATCAGTGAGTTATCGTATTCCGTGACATCTTTAGATATTGAAAGCATTTAAATAAATAAACTAACTGATAGGTTAGGAAACTTGAAGAATAATTGTATTAATAATGTCAGTTTACAGAGATTTCATATTTTCATGGAATACTGATATTTAGGACGGAAGAATTTGACTTAAGTTGAATTTATGTAATTGTAATCAACTGATGAAAAAAGTACCTTTCCCATATGACTTTTTGAATTGCATTAAGGTTGTCTTATAGCTTATGGTGCTTATTAGTATTTAAATGATATGTTACAACTTGATATGCATGATATAAAGCAAGTAACATTTGATATACTAAACTTGCGAAAGGGAGTGGGTCTGTAACTAAGGGAGAGAACTCATCACACCATAATGTCCCAACAGCAGAGCCTGCATGTCAAAGTATTCAAGTATTGTCTGCCCCTAGGATGCCTCATCTGGATTATTTGTCTCTGAAATAAAAAAAAAATTCTAACTTTTGAGCAATATATGGGTCTTCTCATGTCAGTGGAGGGAGCCTTGTCGTAACTCATTGGTAAAAGATTAATGAAGTCCATAGATTAGAATGTTATAAACAGTGAAGCAGTGAAGCAGTAAACCTCAGGGATCCATGGACCTCCTATTTTTTACACTGATGTATGCCTGAAACATGGTCAATTACCCCAATTATAGGTCACTTCAGTAGGTCAAAAGAGACAACATTGACTTTATTGTTCTTTTTGTTACAAATGGCTTTGTCTTAGCAGTCTATAATCTCCAAAATTTGTCCACATACCGGATTCGACGTAATAAGTGCCCAGGGCGCACTCAAAATTAGAAATAGGGGGCTATTATTAGAATATTATTTTGATGAAAAAAACAGAGTTGAAAGATAGATTTTGTGATTTATGCTGACAGCCTGAAATGTTTATATATGACAGCTATATTTTTCCAGAATTTAATTGCCCATAATCAAGGGTGCATAAACACACGAGTGCGTATTATACGTGAACTAATTAGTCTTGTGTACATTGATCAATCGGAAGAGGTGCTAATTGAGATTGTTCACCAGCCAATATATTTGCAAATATCGTGGGCGGTTATTAGAGCGGGGCGCTTATTACGTCGAATACAGTATGGGAAATATCCCTAAGTGACTGTTGAAGGGGAGGACAATCAGAGCTTCAGATAAGCTGAGTATCTGCGTAAAATACACATCAGAAATGCAAAAATATGCAGTAAATAAAATCCCAGCGTATCAAATACGCAACAAAAATTACAGATACGCTACAAAAATAAAACTTGTGCATATCATCAAAATATTGTGAAGTAACCCTGTGTATTCGATTAGCAAATCAGTAACTTAACAGGCATTCCGTCAACTCCATGATGACAGTTACATCATGATCATTTGCCATCACACTTTCTTGTGGAAGTATCGTGGTATTTTTGAGTCCTATGAAGCTCTCGAACGCACATGACACCAGTTTGCAGGGACTAGATGAATAGAGTTTTTAAATATTTTACTTAAATACCAACATGTGTAAAAACTAGTGGGTAACAGAAATTTGAATACTCAGATAGAATTACTGATACCCAATGATGTTAAAATGCATGGGTAAAATACCCTCAACACCAAAAGCTTATCTGGAGCTCTGGTAATACTGTTAAAAGCGGCGTTAAACCAGACTCACTCACTCAAATGGATGACTGCCTGATTATGGTTTCAAATAGTTTTTAAGATATTCATAAATTTTGACATCAAAGGATATCTGTAAAGTATGCAGAGGGATCCAACCACATTGTTCTCTGGAGAAAATGACGGTCCATTGTCGACAGATGTTTATGAACTCTAAATGTATTTACTTTTGATATATAAATTGGTCTTGTCACAAAATGGCTGAAAATTTGCCGATGTGACGTTAAATATTACCTCACTCACTCGGGAGATAATGTCAACTTCTAAGTTTAAAGCTTGCACACAGAGGAAGAGTTTGACATGTTTTTTGGGTGTTGCCAGGCATATCACTCCCAGTTCACCAACCCACCCAAGCTGATTGGGAACATGGCCCTACTCCCACTGAGGACGACATACAAGGGACCAGCACCCCGGGACAGTGAGTACACTCAAGTGTCTGTCCAGAAGGCTTTTATGATAATCGCAGTATTAACAATAATATCTTCAAGTCCATGATGTTGTAATTGGGTTTTATTTGGGTCAGAATAGGTTCCCAGCACCTGATGCTTATCTCAGAGGGGATTCCAGGTCTGAATAGGTCCACAGCACCTGATACTTATCTCAGAGGAGATTCCAGGTCAAAATAGGTTCACAAGATGTGATGTTTATCTCAGGAGATTCCAGGTCAACATAGGTCCACAGCACTGATGCTTATCTCAGAGGGGATTCCAGGTCAAAATAGGACCACAGCACCTGATGCTTATCCCAGAGGGGATTCCAGGTCAAAATAGGTCCACAACACCTGATATTTATCTCAGAGGAGATCCCAGGTCAAAATAGGTCCACAGCACCTGATGCTTATCTCAGAGGGGATTCCAGTTCAAAATAGGTCCACAGCACCTGAGGCTTATCTCAGAGGGGATTCCAGGTCAAAATAGGTCCACAGCACCTGATGCTTATCACATCATTAGCATTACCACTCCATGTTATAATTAATGTCTACTTACTTTGTATGTTGTCCTAATTAAGGCCTAACAGGAAGTAAAATTGATTGATTGAAACCCTTGTGTTTCAGCATCCGATATGGACATCATAGATGAAGCTATTTACTTCTTCAAAGCAAATATTTTCTTCAGAAATTATGAAATTAAGGTAAGTGGATGGTTTTGTTAGGAGATCAAAACATGTATTCAAGTTAAGTTGTTTCATCTGGATTCAATTCTGCATTGATATACAGAGTATGTGGACTGTATGATGTGAAATGTGTCCATTTCAAGTGACCTCTAAATGCCTATCTAGAGGAATGAGACCGCAGGGCTCTGCTATGATTTATATAATAGATCATGATAATAATTGATGTGAACTATTAATCTGGTCATGCAATAAGAAATTACTTTTTCGATTATCAACCCAGTCTCATTAAAATCAGATCTAAACAGCGGTAGCGAGAACTAAGATCTGAGGATACCCCATTACGGGTCACATCAGACCGACCTTGCACAAACTTTGGCCGACCAATGGAATGACTGACAATTAGTCGATATTAGCCAATCAAAAGGCAGCTTTCTCATGCTTTACTGCACCAATTTCGAATAAGCAACTACGCTTCGAAACAAATTTTGACAAATTCGCAATTAAAAAATTGAAACCTGAACAAAAGAACATTCTGGAATGGCTAATAGATGGTCTAGATTGTATGGATTCAGTTGTTAAGCCTGTAACTATCGTTTGGAATACCCAGTGTTAAAGTTTTTGAGGTTGCATGATTAGGAATCACATTCCGACTGTCACTTTCATGATCTGGTAAGTGACGCTCTGATTGGTCGGATGAAAGGTCGTTCAGACGTGACCCCAAATGAGATGTCCTCAGATCTTTGTTTAGCGGTAGCGAGAACTAAGATCTGATTTTAATGAGATTGATACCCCACCCAACTCTCATTGTGTTATTGAACTTTAAATCATGTTGTTTGTCACAGAGTGAGGCGGATCGGACTCTTATCTACATCACACTCTACATCAGCGAGTGTCTCAAGAAACTTCAGAAGGTAACAGTTGTTAGGAAGACATCATTAGCTGTCATATAAGAAGTGAAAGGAAAATAGTATTTGTTTTTATTTTAGTCACATCTGACTACTGGTTTAGTATACAGGTGTAGTTGCTAAAACAGTAAGATTCAATAAATAACTTGAGAAGTTGTGTAAATATTTGTATAGAAATACTATCAGATAAAGGAGAAAATATTTTTAGCAGTTTCAATCAAGGTACACCATACCACTGAAAGCTTTAGAAGTTGGGACCGCCTCCGTGGTCTAGTGGTAGAGCTTCCGCCTGGAGAGCGGAAGGTCTGGGGTTCGATCCCTGACCGCGTCATACCAAAAGACGTTAAAAGATGGTACTTGTTGTTACCCTGTCTGGCACTCGGCATTAAGGGGCTAAAACAAGGACTGGTCAGCTCGGAGTCAGTATACAATGTCTGAGTGGGGTATTCATGTTAAACTGCGGCATGGTATCTCAGTGAGCTAGCACTATAAATCGGCATCAGTCAGGACTTGTACAAGCAGCCACACAAACACACACAAGTACATGCACGTCGCCCTATAAGTTCAATAATCTTGGATGCGACGTTAAACCCCATTTCACCTCACCTTTAGAACTTGGTGATATTACTTTAGAAATCCATCAGAGAGCTACAAAACTTTGGAATATGTATACACTTTAATTAGAAATAGATACACAAATTACAAAGACACAATCCCGATAAAATTAACCGGCAGATTTTCAAAGTAATCGAATACAGTAAATCATGTAACCAGCTGTTGTGTTTGGATTCTTTGAAAATGTGCCAGGTTTGGGGATTGTGTCTTTGTTTGTAATTTGTGTGGCCATATCTGTTTCAATTAAATGTGTGTACATATTCCATAGTTTGTTAGCTCTCTGCTAGTTTTCTTTGGTAGGCCTGTGATTAATGCTCCACACAAAGCAGGCTTTTGGTTACACATGTAATATGATTGAACATATTGAAAGTTTACATTTTGATGTTCACATAAGTAGTTTCCTCAAGTGTAATTCATGTTCCTCAAGTTGTCCGTTCCCTCCACAGTGCACCTCCAGGAACCATGGAGAGAAGGAAATGTACACCCTTGGGATCTCCAACTTCCCCATCCCAGGGGAGCCCAAGTTCCCCCTCAACGCCATGTACACCAAGCCTGCCAACAGGGGAGAGGACGGTACATAGGGGCAGAGCGTGGGGAGGGGGTCTATTGAGGTGTCTATCACAGGATTGCAAGTGATTCTACGGCATTCTCTGATTCTCGGACTTGTTGATGATTGAATGGGCAGAGCTTGTCTCTCATTGTTGTGCAGATGATGTCGGATTTCTTATCGTGTACAGGTTTTTCTGTGTTAATGATCAAATAAGCATTCTGTGAAGTTTTTATTGTTGACATATTTATTTATATGAATTGACTTCAACATATTTTTGCACTTACGGAGTTATGAATGTATAAATGTGCACGCTTTGTGTAAATATGCCAAAGGATAGACATAGTATGTACACTGGTGTTTATGCAGTCTCATTAAAATCAGATCTTAGTTCTCGCCACCGCTAAACAAAAATCTGAGGACATCCCATTAGGGTTCACGTCAGAACGACCTTTCATCCGACCAATCAGAGCATTGCTTACCAGATCATGAAAGTGACAGTGGGTATGTGATTTCTAACCATGTAGCCTCCAAAAAATTTAAAACGGGGTATTCTGAACGATAGTTACGGGCTTAACGACTGAATCTATACAATCTAGACCATATATTACCCATTCAAGAATGTTCTTTTGTTTAGGTTTCAAATTTTTAAGCGAGAATTTGTCAAAATATGTTTCGAAGCGTAGTCGTCAATTTGAAATTAGTGCAGTAAAGCATGAGAAAGCTGCCCTCTGATTGGCTAATATCGACTTCTTGTCAGTAATTCCATTGGTCGGTCAGACTTCGCGAAAGGTTGGTCTGACGTGACCCGTAATGGGATGTCCTCAGATCTTTGTTTAGCGGCAGCGAGAACTAAGATCTGATTTTAATGAGATTGGTGTTTATACATCCAAAACGAAAAATATTGGAGTCTGTTCTTAAGTGATGTGTGCGGTGGGGATCTGTAGGTGTGGGTGGGATAGTGTGTGTTGTGGGGGTGTTGTATATTCTTAAGTCTATTTTAAGTGATTTATGTAGCTAACCATGCTAACGTAGGTATTCATGATTTGTGATTGTGTTTCTAGACACAATGCGAGCCTACTTGCAACAGATTCGCCAGGAGACGGGACTCCGGCTGTGTGAGAAGGTGTTTGATGCTGCCACAGACAAACCAAGCAAGGTGAGCGAACTGTCTACCATCGTTAGATATGTAGAGAATAACCTATGAGCTACAAGGAATTAGCGATATCTACTGACTGAAGGGATGCTGGTAGCCCTGAGGCTTTTGAGGGACTTGCAACATTCCTTCACGAGGGACAAACAATCCATCAGTCATTTTATTTTTTACTTATTGTCATTGAAGGTAGATATTTATGAGATAGAGATTCCCTATATCTATGCTGATTCTGGACTAGGATATATTACCAACAACATATGCTGGTCGTAAGAGGCGACCAAATAAATTGTGTGCTCAGACTCATTGACTTGGTTGATTGTATGTCATTGTACCAGATGGCATTAATCTTTGCTCACAATATCGATCACTGGATTGTCCGGTTCATACTCGATTTTTAACAGACAGCTGCCATATACCAGGATGTGAAATCTCTGCGGAAATGCGGAAAATCCCGGGGGGGGGGGGGGGGGGGGGGGGTAAAAATAGTCCTCGGAAAAAAATCTTCTTCCCCTTTGTGTAAGGGGGAGGGGGGGTGAAATTTATGGCAGTATTGCTCCCAGACCCGGCGGGTAGCTTGGTGCGCGAAAGCTATGCCTGATTTTTTCACTTTTACTGCTCCCGCCATCTTTGTTTATTTGACTTGACTTTTGCAATTGACTTATTACATTTCTTAGTGTGAATGTCTAAACTGCACGAAATTGCTTAAAATGCAATCACACACCCCTAGATTTTTCCTCATTTTGGGGCAAAACCTGCTCACATCCCTGCTTATAGCTGGAATTACAAGCCTCTACTAAACAAACAAAACATGTCGTGGCCATTGGTCACAACCAAGATTCACCTTGATTATGAGCCTTGGGTTGTCAGCACCATTTTGGACCGCCTCCGTGGTCTAATGGTAGAGCATCCGCCTGGAGAGCGGAATGTCCGGGGTTCGATCCCCGAACAACGTCATACCAAAAGAAGTTAAAAGATGGTACTTGTTGTTACGCTGTCTGGCGCTCGGCATTAAGGGGCTAAAACAAGGACTGGTCTGCTCAGAGTCAGTATACTGTGTCTGAGTGGGGTATTCATGTTAAACTGCGGCATGATATCTCAGTGAGCTAGCACTATAAATAGGCATCAGTCCGGACTAGTACAAGAAGCCACACAAACACACACACGTACCGGTACATGCACGTTGCTTTATAAGTGCAATAATCTTGAACATGACGTTAAACCCCATTTCACCTCATCTCAAAGCACCATATTGTATCCCTCCACCTGTTCATTGTTAATTATATTTGTCTGTCACTGAACTGGGGGCAATGGAGTGATCCGTCTAAAAAGAGTGCCAGTGTAGAATTTACAGTGCACTGTTTATTTAGTAAACCTATATACATGTACTAATCTCTTGCTCACTCACCTCCAAATACCTATACATTGGAGGTGAACTTTTTTAAGGATTTAATATCAAGAACAAAAATGCTGTGAGTGCTTTCATAGAGGTTCTCTTCTTGTTTTCCATCCTGGAATCCTTGTTCAAAGGAAGATTAAGCGAGGGACTAGTTTGAACAGTTTGAAAATATGTTTGTATCCAAATGTAAATGTGTGCTGTAGGTAGGGCTGGGACGAGTCCAAATTGACTACCCGGGTACCCACATCGATATAACCCGACCCTACCCGGGTACCCGCTACAGGGCTCAAAAGTTTGGTACAAAATGTCCGATTGGAAATAGTTTGAGTGTAGCTCTGGTAGAATGTATTTAAATATATGTATAAAACGATCTGGTCATGCATACACTGAAGTTGACTGAAGTGTTATTTTTATTCAAACCTATAAGGTCAGAAGCAATGGTGCTTAGGCTGAAAGAAATGCGAACATTAGTGACTTGTAGTGTAACCATAGAGTTCTAGATATTTTTTTATGTTTAAATAATATATCACGAAACTAACCACGAGTCCGGGTAGTCCTGTGGGTACCCAGGTCCTACTCAGAACCGGCCAACCCGAGTACCCGAGTTACCCATCCCAGCCCTAGCTGTCACAACATAAGTTTGTACGCTTTTCTAATTGGTCGACCTGGAACCTCCAGTATACACATAGAACGACTGATAAAAATGATGAAGGGATGCAGCAACTGCAGCTGCAGCAGCCCCGTGCTTGTGGGTTTCACCCAAGTCATAACAATCTGCAACATCATCACTTAAGGCTTTCCCTACGCAGTAGGCTGATAAGCCGTGATATAACTGACAATACTGTTGAAAGCGGCATTAATCCCAACTCACTCACTCACCCAATTACATGCTAAGTCCCTGATAATGACTATCACACAAATCCATGTGTAACATTAATTCCTCCATTAAGGGGGTGGTACGGTAGCCTAGTGGTTAAGGCGTTTGCTCATCATGCTGAAGGCCTAGGTTCTATTCCCCACAAAGGTGCAATGTGTGAAACCAGTTTCTGGTGTCATCCGCCGTGATATCGCTGGAATATTGGTAAAAACGGCAAAAAAACAACTCACTCACTCCTTAATTCACAATGTTGATATCTTTCTTTCCAGTGGTGGCTGTGCTTTGCCAAGAGGAAGTTTATGGACAAGAGTCTATCCGCTCCAGGATACTAAGACAACAACCAGACTATAATATGCCTTGACTAATGTATATCTGCTGTCACTCATTATTGTCACTGCCTCTTCCACTGCATCAGTTGCCATGGCAACATGCTTAATCCTTAATAGTCACAATTACTTTAACCAAATTAAGAAAATATATCATTGAAAGAAAATTATGGGAAATAATATTAGGTTATTTCATGTGGTTTTAGAAGGAAAATGTTTCTATATTATATAAACGATCCATGAAACGGTTATTTATGGGACTTGACAGAAGCAAGAACACAAGATGGAAATGTCTTTCATTCCTTGCATGTTTGTATCATACATGAGGTGTTTATGTCACATTAAACATTATTTGTAATGAAGCATTGTTGTTTTGTCATGTCAACATGGACATCAGAACTTCTGGTAGCTGGTCGGAGTTTTGTCACAGCATGGATTCTGCCCCTTGGTACAAGACAGATTAACTATAGTAATATGAAAGAATTGGGTGTTCTTTTATATTTCTTTTAAGTAGTACATGACTCATATGACACAGAAAAACACAAGGGTAATAATGTCTTTAACATATAATGTCATGCTTAAAATAATTGAAGTTTAAGACACATTGCTATTCACTGTAGTCACTTAAGTCAACAATAGTCTTGGTTCTCAGGCACCGCCCGCATCATCATAAAGTTTGCCGCACGTTCCGTTTTTATTTCAATCTTAAAAAAAGTAAAAAATCCTAATACTACAGTTGGATCCACACAGTCACTTCCCTTTACATGCACGCTGCTTTACTGCGCATCTAGAGTTATGGTCATGGTGGCAATAGGAGTTAGTATGCTTATTAATGTAGGGAGGCCCATTCCCAGGTTGAGGATACACAACTGTTTATTTGGTTACATGCTAGTTATTGCCTGAGTACCAATTCTTTTATTTTTTTAAACCCGGGAGAACAGCCCCAAATCATTGGAAGCGATGCCGGTCTACATAAACTCTCACACATGGGGAACCCATCGTCTAATGATTCAGGGAATGTAATGCAATAGTTTTTGAGCCGTTGAACACAGAATCAATGTACAGAGCCCACTAAAAGTACTTCCTCCTTGGTGTGGGGCGGTTGGGTAGCCTAGTGGTTAAAGCGTTCACTCGTCACGCCGAAGACCTGGGTTCGAATCCCGACATGGGTACAATGTGTGAAGCCCATTTCTGGTGTCCCCCGCCGTGATATTGCTGGAATATTGCTAAAAGCGGCGTAAAACCAAACTCACTCACTCACTCCTCCTTGGTGTCCTCATTTGCATATTTACAGGATTGAGGATTGCGCTCCCTATGTTAGTGGGCTCGAATCCCAGTTCACCCCGATTTTGTTTCTAGGTTTGGCAGCACCATACCCGTGCTCGTGGGTTTCACCAAAGTGGTTAACATCTAAGACCTGCATCACTTCAGGCTTTCCTCCCACATTAAGCTGACTCACTGTGATATAACTGGAATACTGTTAAAAGCAGCATGAAACCCAACTCACCCAAACCTTACTCTGTCAGAGATTGATGTGCAGGGTCTTCCTGGAAGCAAACTGCTGCATCCTATGTGCATACAAATAAAGAATGGACACAAATTATATCCACTGTAAGTCTCACACGATGCGGGCTGCCTCCATGGTCTAGTGGTAGAGCGTCTGTCCAGAGAGTGGAAGGTCCGGGGTTTGATCCCCGGCTGCAACATACCAAAAATGAAAAGACGATAAAAGATGGTACTTGTTATCCTGCCTGGCGCTCGGCATTAAAGCACTAAAACAAAAACTGGTCGACTCGGAGTCAATATACTATGTCTGAGTGGAGTATTCATGTTAAACTGCATGGTATCTCAGTGGGCTAGCACTATAAAGATTAGCCTGTACTAGTACAAGCAGCCACGCACGCAGCCACGCACGCAGCCACGCACACACAAATAAGTATGGATAGTGGAATGACATCTTCCCAGGGCAAGGGCGTTAACTGACTATAAAAGTCCTGTTTCTACTCTTGCAAAACCAGGCTTGAGTTTCCGAGTTACATTTTGGAAAGGAGTTTATGCATAGTCTAATGAAAATCACATAATGAACTAGACATCCAGATCATAAAACAACATGGACTTCAATGTACAGATTTCGGTCGACTGCAGGATTTGTAGAGTGTGTTTACCGCCAACTGGGCATCAACAAATATTTTCAAATCCTTTCATGTTTTTAATCAAGGTGCTCTTGAAAGTGATTTGATGCACTTCGTGGGGCAAGACCCATTTTATGACAATATAGATCTTGATTATCCATCAGATCATCTTGACTGGGTGCCACCATTTTTCTGATTGGTCAATAATATGGACATAGAAGGGACATAACTCATAATAGCCACAGGTGGTGCTACGATCAAGCAGAGACCATATAATAGAATTATATGGTCTCTGGATCAAGTCTGGAAATTCCAATCTTGTTCGGCAAGGGTGGAATCTGGACTTTAATAGTCCGTTAACTCCCTGGCCCCGGGAAGATGTGGAATGATTGAAGAAGAATACAGTCGATGCTCTGATGCTCTGTTAACTCCCTTGCCTCGGGAAGATGTGGAATGATTGAAGAAGAATACAGTCGATGCTCTGATGCTCTGTTAACTCCCTTGCCTCGGGGAGATGTGGAATGATTGAAGAAGAATACAGTCGATGCTCTGATGCTCTGTTAACTCCCTTGCCTCGGGAAGATGTGGAATGATTGAAGAAGAATACAGTCGATGCTCTGATCCTCTGTTAACTCCCTTGCCTCGGGGAGATGTGGAATGATTGAAGAAGAATACAGTCGATGCTCTGATGCTCTGTTAACTCCCTTGCCTCGGGGAGATGTGGAATGATTGAAGAAGAATACAGTCGATGCTCTGATGCTCTGTTAACTGCCTTGCCTCGGGAAGATGTGGAATGATTGAAGAAGAATACAGTCGATGCTCTGATGTTCTGTTAACTCTCTTGCCTCGGGAAGATGTGGAATGATTGAAGAAGAATACAGTCGATGCTCTGATGCTCTGTTAACTCCCTTGCCTCGGGAAGATGTGGAATGATTGAAGAAGAATACAGTCGATGCTTTGATGCTCTGTTAACTCCCTTGCCTCGGGAAGATGTGGAATGATTGAAGAAGAATACAGTCGATGCTCTGATGCTCTGTTAACTGCCTTGCCTCGGGAAGATGTGGAATGATTGAAGAAGAATACAGTCGATGCTCTGATGTTCTGTGAACTCCCTTGACGGGAAGATGTGGAATGATTGAAGAAGAATACAGTCGATGCTCTGATCCTCTGTTAACTGCCTTGCCTCGGGAAGATGTGGAATGATTGAAGAAGAATACAGTCGATGCTCTGATGCTCTGTTAACTGCCTTGCCTCGGGAAGATGTGGAATGATTGAAGAAGAATACAGTCGATGCTCTGATGCTCTGTTAACTCCCTTGCCTCGGGAAGATGTGGAATGATTGAAGAAGAATACAGTCGATGCTCTGATCCTCTGTTAACTCCCTTGCCTCGGGAAGATGTGGAATGATTGAAGAAGAATACAGTCGATGCTCTGATGCTCTGTTAACTCCCTTGCTTGGGAAGATGTGGAATGATTGAAGAAGAATACAGTCGATGCTCTGATGCTCTGTTAACTGCCTTGCCTCGGGAAAATGTGGAATGATTGTAGAAGAATACAGTCGATGCTCTGATGCTCTGTTAACTCCCTTGCCTCGGGGAGATGTGGAATGATTGAAGAAGAATACAGTCGATGCTCTGATGGTCCATGTCAGATATTCCAAGCTCAATCACCAAGTTTCCATTCAAACAACGAAATCCTTTTCTTTCTTCAGCATAAGATATCACACATTTGTTTAGTTTGCTGTTGGTATAGTGGTTCAGTGGTTATCCTGACGATATAAAGACCCAAGGAAAATCCCTGGATGTGATGGACAGAATAAACAAGTAGTTCGAGTAGCCAAACCTGTTGTGAGACATCCTCTTCAGTAGATGCCACACAGTCAAAGAAGAAAGATGCCTTGAACAGATTGTTAAATAAATAAAAGTATAGAAAAAGTACAATGTCTCCTGCCTGAGGTGTTTTTATCCCCCGCCCAACAAAGTTGGCGGGGGATATAGAAACGGGCTCCGTCCGCCCGTCCGTCCGTCACGTTTCGTTTCCGGAGCATAACTCATACACCGTTCAATATCTTTTCATCAAACTTTGCAGGTCTGTCAGGTACATGCTGAACTGGTGCCTTTTGCTATTTAGAAATTTTAGAATTTTTTATTTTTTTACGTTTCCATGGCAGCAAGATGGACTTAGGTTCCAAACTCTTCTTTTTTTTACAATTTCCATGACAAGTTCCACCTCGGTTAAAAAAGGTTAGGGTTTGTTTAGATTTAATTATGTCATAAATTCTGCAACATGGGCGGGGGATATAGCCACGTTAGTGGCAAACTCTTGTTAATGTTAGCATGAATATCGTGAAAATCTTGCAATTAATTTGTTGTGGCCTTGTGTTTTTTTGTTTGTTGTTTAATGCTGCACTTCACATTATTCCAGATATATGATGGAAGCTTGTAATAATCGACCAAACAATCCAGTGACTGAAGATGATGAGATGAGATGAGATGAGATTAGATAAAATAAGACTTTATTATCTCGAGGGAAATTCATATTGCACAGTTGATTAGCACTGAAATATGAAAAAGAAAATATATGATATTAGAATATGTACATAAGAAAATAGGACCTTTACTAATATATCCACGAGTAAAAACGTAGAAAATTGAACACTATCACAGTGACGACAAGGAAGGGTATTTTAAAATATATGTATTTATATCCCAGGAAGAGTAAACTTTGATAAAAGGGATAATGACAGGATAAAATTTGAGTACAGACAACTGTTAAAACGTATCAAACAGATTAACATTTCAAAGACTAATACTGGCTGGCATGAATGATATATGAGTGATAATCCACGCCATCACGTACAAGACCCTTTTGATCCGTTTGGTCACCTAAAGACCTAACATCTGATATGCCATGACATAACTGAAATACGATTAAGAGCAGCATTAAATTCAACTCACTCACTCACCCTCTTACACACTATTTAATATTCAAAATTTGTGAGAAAAGAAATTGATGATTTTGTACCACAGAACTAATACTATTTACATACCATTACATACATGAAATAATCAAGGTCATCTTAGTGCAATCTGTGAATCCTTGATTTAATTGTATGAGCCGCCATTTTAAACAAATGCAAAACATCAACAAAGCATGCTTTTCCAGAAAAAAATTGATTTACAGATCAGAATATTTTCAGAAAGAAACAAATACTAGAAACTCGATAGATCTAAGACTAGAATTATACATGAGTTCAGGTACAAAATGGCAAAGAATTATGTTTTGAAATTTAAACTAAAGGAAACATAAGCACATTGATGAAAAAAGTTTCTTTTCAATGATGGAGCTATCTTTCATTGTCTGTTCACTGTACTAAGATAAAAATAATAATATTGCTTTTCAAAAGTAAATAGGCATCATTAGTGTAGTGTTTGATTAGATTTAGGAAACTACACTTTCTTACATATGAATGTATACATGTAATTCTTTTTATGACTAGTGTCCAGTCTATATATTAAATTAAGTGTGTCTAGTAGTTCACGCATTCAAACAGGAAACCAGTTTAACATTTGCCGTTCAGCTCGCGTATTGTACTACACGAGCTTAGTTTTTACAAAAATTGCAACTCGTGTGTGGAAAATACACACAAATCCGTGCGTGACAATATATGTACCTTTGCATATATCTCGATCATTTGGCAACTGTAACATGTAATTGAATTTCAAAATGGCAGTGCAAGATGAAAACGCAGAGAACAATGATGACTTTGGGGGGAACAAAACTTTAGGAAATATGCGTTCCTGCAAAAGTAACAGTTTCAGTTTTTGTAAGAGAATATTATTGCACAAGTTGTCAACGTGGGGCCATCAGCTGGACGACAAGGGAACAAGATATATTCACCAAAAAACATCTAGTGACCAGTGACGGTAGGTAATGTTACTCGGGCGTTAGTGACCGCTGATTCAACGCTTTTAGTTCTGATTTATGAATTGTGTCCACAGAAGATCTGTTTCGTGGGGAGCAAATGCGAAGCCTACCATGCCGCGAAAGCAGACGAATCATTTCTGTTTGTTTGTTTATTTACGCCGCACTCAGAAATGTTACTGCAAAATGATCGAGTCCGGATCAGACAAACCATTGCTGATGTTGTGAACGACGGACTCGGAGTAAGATGACGGGCGATCAACCAAGTAATCAACCGGAGGTCCGATCAATTTGTAATTTGAAGCATGGGCAATATCAGCCTGAATATTGTTAATCGGCATCAAAAACATTATACACGATGTTGTACGCTTGAATAATACGATTTTTAAATGCTTTTGTTTTAAAGGTATTCGACATAATAAGCGCCCAGGGCGCTCTCAAAATTAGAAATAGGGAGGCTCTTATTAGAATATTATTTTGGTGAAAAACAACAGAGTTGAAAGATTGTCAATTTTGTGGTTTATGATGACAGCCTGAAATGTTTATATACGACGGATATATTTTTCCAGAATTTAATTTCCCATAATTAAGGATGCATATAGCACACATATTATACATGAATAAATAAGTCTTGTGTACATTGATCAATCGGAAGGTGTGCTGATTGGGATTGTTCACTAGCCATTATTACGTCGAATATGTTATGTTGGATAAGAAAGGGAGAAGACAGAGAAAATAGACAGTCATTTCACTGTTAAACTCTTAATAACATAGGATTTTATAAATAAAAGAGTACTGTGGCAATTGTTGATAAATAATTAGTCGATTAATCTTAGTCAATTTATTCTTTTTCACATCTTCATGAAATTATTGCCTGCCTTTCCCCAGTTCCTTATGTTGAGCCCATGAAAGCATATTTATTTTCAACATATTCTTGTTTTCAATGTCAGCTTAATATTCATGAATCTAATGGGATCATAAATTGGAACAAATATAAATATTATTTTTTCATTTATTCGTTTTCATTATTATGCAGTCAATTAGATATTTATTTATTCAGTTATGCTGCACTCAACCAATCATCACCAATCTGAACACTATCTATCTACTATGGTTCTGTTTGTAAGGACCAGGATGGATAAGAGCTGTTTAGGGGGTCTAAGGGACAGCATGGGAGCCTAAATGTTAAAAGCTTGCAAATAAATGTACTTGTCAGAGTATTCTTGTTCAATTTATTGTTTTCAAATTTTCGCTTGTATACATATTACTTACAGATTGGTATAGAAGTTGACTGGAGGGTGGTTATAGGAGCAGGGCGCTTAATCAGGCGAATAATATAGAATAAAATATCCTGTATCATATGTTTTAACTGCTCCCTAACAATAACAGTGTGCGACATTTGGAACTTTTGTACCTAGACTTCCTTGTCTGTGTCTGATGCATGCTCCCACTTGGTGACAAGGATTACCAGTACCTGTCTTTGTTATGACTTACTGTAGCATATAGTAGGGCAAGGACAGGTAACTCAGATACTCAGGTCGGGTTGGTACTGCGCAGGACCCGGGTACCCACAGGACTACCCGGACCCGTGGTTAGTCATGTGATATATTGTTTAATGATAGAAATTATCTGGGACTCTATGGTTACAATACAAGTCACTAATGTTCTCATTTCTTTCTGACTATGCACACACTGAAACATTGTGTATGTCTAGTAAGGACTTTATTATCCATAATGCCCGTAAAGGCTATGCTTGCTGTAAGAGGTGACTATGCTTGTCATAAGAAGTGACTAGCAGGACCAGACCACCATCATATAGCTGGAATATTGCTGTGTGCGGCGATAAACAACAAACAAATGAAATAATAAATGTTATCCATAATATTCCTTGTCATTAATAGAGATGCCCTTATTGACTACAGCATAAAACAACACCCACCCACTAATTTATGGGACTGCCTCCGTGGTCTTGTGGTAGAGCGTCTGTCCAGAGAGTGGAAGGTCAGGGGTTCGATCCCCAGCCATGTCATACCAAATGACGTGAAAGATGGTACTTGTTGTTATCCTGCCTGGCGCTGATCATTAAGGGGCTAAGGCAAGAACTGGTTGGCTCGTAGTCAGTATACTGTGTCTGAGTGGGGTATTCATGTTAAACTGCACTATGGTATCTCAGTGGGCTAGCACTATTAAATCAGCATTAGTTTGGACTAGTAAAGCATCCACACACACACACAAACACACAAACACACACACACATGCATGCATGCATGTCGCTATTATAAGTGCCATAATCTTGGATGCCATGTTAAACCTCATTTCACCTCACCTCACTAATTTATGTTTCCTTTCTATGAAAACTGTAAACAGCGTAAATTATCAGGCACATGTTTCATAAACTCATATTAATGCTGGCCCACACCAGCGACCGCCTCCGTGGTCTAGTGGTAGAGCGTCATACCAAAAGACGTTAAAAGATTGTACTTGTTGTTACCCTGTCTGGCGCTCGGCATTAAGGGGCTAAAACAAGGACTGGTCAAGCTCAGAGTCAGTATACTGTGTCTGAGTGGGGTATTCATGTTAAACTGCGGCATGATATCTCAGTGTGCTAGCACTATAAATCGGCATCAGTCCGGACTAGTACAAGCAGCCACACACACACACACACACACACACACACACACACACAAGCACGTCGCTATGTAAGTGCAATAATCTTGGACACAATGTGTAACCCCATTTCACCTCACCACATACACCAGCTGATGTTGTCAGTATTGTGTATCAGCTGGTAATGAGCACCCGTGTATCTGCAGACTGGGATGGCTGCACAGCTGCCGCCAACACTCATCACAACCAGGATGGGATGTTAATATTTTACATGTTGTGGAACAGATTGAGACCTTTGTTCTGTCTGATTGCCAAGTTAGATTATCATCAGTTTTATAATTCATTGGGCTTGACAAGGAACTAGTGATTTAAGAGTAATCAATAATCTGAAAGCATTTTCCTGTAGTGACGTTGACAGTCATACCTGGACATGCTGTTAATATCACTGATTCTTACAAAGTGGGCCTGCTACCACGTAAGTCTTTTTCAAGCAATTTATACCATAAAGTCGTGACACTGAGACTTCTTTATTGTTTGTAACAATGTTTCAGGGCTATGCTTGGGACTTTTTATCCCCCACCCCAACAAAGTTCGCAGGGGATATTGAAATGGGTTCAATCCATCTGTGCGTCGTGTGTGCGTCCCGAAATCCTTTCTGGTGCATAACTCAGAAACCTCTAAATATTTCTCTACGAAACTTTGCATGTCTATCAGACTAAACTGGTCTCTATTGCTATTTTGGAATTTTAGAAATGTTTTATTTTTTACGTTTCCATGGCAACAAGTTGGACTTAGGGTGGTGTTGGTTGCCGGAGCGTAATTAAAAAAACGTTAAATACTTTCTTACAAAACTTTGCATGTCTACCAGGTGCATACTGAACTAGGGTCAGTTACCTGGTTTGGGACAATAACGTGTTAAAATGGGCAGGGGATATAGATGACTTTGTTGACTCTACGCTTGTTGCTTTGATTTTTGCAGGGGGGCTGTCACCTAGCTGGCTTCAATTTGCCCTTTGCTATGTCCATTATTTCACCTATCAGTGCTAATTAGTGCTACATGTACATAGATGTCTCTCTGCCTCATGGCATTCATTCACCTGATGAAGGAGTAAGCATATACTCCAAAACATTGTGTTCCTCATAATAAAGAAGTTGACATCCATGTATTTTTCTTCCTTATATAGACAATATTAACAAAAACTTCTTCTTTTTCTCACTTTTTCACTGACTGACCCAAACAATTTCATGCCAAACTTTTAAAATATTGAGCTAGCCTTCCCAAATCTATTTGTTTTTGTATTTTTAATTTAGTAGTCTCAGGCTAGTGGACTAGCGTGAATTTCAAAGCCTGACATAGTAACTCAGCAGTATACTGACAATAATTCATGGCCGAAGTGTCGAAAATCTTTTATATGGTAGGACCCAACTATCTAATGGTGAAATTGTTACATTGTTATGTTCAGTACCGGATTATCAAAAAGCCAAGTTTCGCTCATTAGTGCCCAGAACCCAACTGTCGAAAATGTGAAGGGCTTAGTTGATTAACAAAGGTGAGGTGGTGAGGTGAAATTGGGTTTAACGTCGCGTCCAAGATTATTGCACTTATATAGCGACGTGCATGCACGTGTATGTGTGTGTGTGGCTGCTTGTACTAGTCCGGACTGATGCCGATTTATAGTGCTAGCTCACTGAGATACCATGCCGCAGTTTAACATGAATACCCCACTCAGACACAGTATACTGACTCCGAGCCGACCAGTCCTTGTTTTAGCCCCTTAATGCCAAGCGCCAGACAGGGTAACAACAAGTATAATCTTTTAACGTCTTTTTGTATGACGCGGCCCGGGATCGAACCCTGGACCTTCCGCTCTCCGGGCGGACGCTCTACCACAAGACCACGGAGGCGGTCGATTAACAAAGCAATTAGTGATCAGCTGATAATGTTTTCTGAGATGGGGGCCATGCTTTACTACTCTCTATAACCGAGCTGGCGCTTTATTGAAGAGCGCAGCAACGAGGGAACACTGTACCTAATTAACTTACGGCCTCGTCAGCATTTCTTTTCTTGATACTTCTCCCTACTAGATTATTAAAGTCAAAATATACATGGTTTTAAGATCAAAGTGATCAAAGTTACTTGCAGACAGGACAGAGGAGACCTACACTCATGTCCGGTTAGATTTAGAGAAAACTACTCACAAAACTATCCAATCTCATTAAAATCAGATCTTAGTTCTTGCTACCGCTAAACAAAGATCTGAGGACATCCCATTATGGGTCACGTCAGACCGACCTTGCGCGAACTTTGACTGACCAATGGAATGACCAATCAGAAGGCAGCTTTCTTGTGCTTTACGGCACTAATTTCAAATTGTGACTACGCTTCGAAACATATTTGGACAAATTCTCGATTACAAATTTGAAACCTGAACAAAAGAACATTCTGGAATCGCTAACAGATGGTCTAGATTGTATGGATTCAGTCGTTAAACCCGTAACTATCGTTCGGAAAACCCCGTGTTAAACTTTTCGAGGTTGTATGATTAGAAATCACATTCCGACTGTCACTTTCATGATCTGGTAAGCGACGCTCTGATTGGTCGGATGAAAGGTCGTTCTGACGTGACCCCTAATGGGATGTCTACAGATCTTTGTTTAGCGGTAGCGAGAACTAAGGTCTGATTTTAATGAGATTGAAAACTATCGGAACTGTGTTCCCAAACTCACACTGGTGCATCGTAAGTTTTCATGCCATGATACAGTTCCAGACACATTTTTTTCTGTATCTAAACAAGACGATATACATACTAAAATGAATTACTTACTCCTCCTTTCATGACCCCCAGAGTTTTTTTTGTCAAATATCGCAGAATGTGTTGTAATTTAGCGTTTCAAGTTCATTACTAAAAATATCCCCTACGAACATGCTTTTCATAGTGAACCTGCTCTGAAATATTTTCCATGAGATTTGACGTAAATATGCATTTCGTGATATGTATTGTATTGTGACCTATGTATTGTGATACTATCATATCGTGACCTTGCTATATCATTTCATCCTGAATTTCTCAATCATTTTACATTTCAGCTTCATTTCCAACGCCAGCCATGAGGAGACGTATATCTGTTCCAATCTGTGCATTCCTGTCTCTGTCCGACCTTGCCATCACAACCGTCATCTTTTCCCACGGAACAGACTTTCGCTATCACTTCCTAGTTGAGACTTATGAGTACAACATCAGCCGTTCCCTGTTCGATCTCTGGGCACTGACCCTAATCCGTGTTTCGTTCATTCTGGGACTGGTCACCGCAATAATACGAAATCCGTCCCCTTCAGTGTCCCGCAGTAAATATGTCAGTAAATACATCGCAGGGCTGTGTATAGCGATGTGTATGTGGACTGTCATCCGACTCCTCACCCTCGCGGACAGCAGCAGCAACCTGCACAACCCCTGGATGTGGGGCATGCTGGCCTGGGCCTTTGTGGCGGCCATCTTGTTTTATATACAATGGCGTATTCTGTGTCAAACAAAAGTCTGTGATAAACCAAACTTGCTTGGGGACGATGAAGAGAGAGAGCCATTGATTAATGACTCAAAGACTAAAGATAAGGATGATTCAAAGGAAGAGGACAAAGAGAAAAATGTTAAATTAACCAGAAAAAAAGTATTTCGGTTGTTTTCCTACATGCGACCTGATTGGCTCCTGTTATGCACAGGGTTCACATTTCTCATCTTAGCTGCCGTAGGTGAGAACTGGGTTATTTATTCATCCAAAAAACTAAGCCAGAGTTCAAATTCGATTTAGGCCTGACCAATTTTTTGTTCTTGTATTACAAATTCTTTCGAATAAATTGGTTGGATGGAAGAACGAAAATACTTTTAAAAATAGGCAGAAATGAATGTTTTTTATGTTGTGTTATGGTTTTATGAGGCCAAATTTTGTGGATAGAGGACCGAATAAACTTGACCAGGTTCAACGGTCTCTGCTTTTATTGTGTTTTGAGGTAACTACCCAATTCAGCTATGTTTTTATTTCAGTTTCATTTTTATTATTATTTTTAAAATCTGGAAAATACAGGAACAAAATTTGGGCTGGTCTGACTGATAAAAGCATTTCATTGTTATTATCATTTTTCAGACAAAATATAGTGTTGTAGCTTTTAGTCCATTTGATGATTTAACATTTGTTTACAGGATCTGCTTGTGTTGATGAATTCTTTTCATAATAACATTGTATTATTGAGGTGGTATGCCTCTGTAAGGCATCGCTGCTGCCACAGTTGGCTGCTCAACCACTTATGACAGATGTTAGAGAGTTCTTACCTGGTATCCTTCATTTTATTGTTTATTTCTTGTTTAACGCCTCACTCAGCAATATTACACACACACACACACACACACACACACACACACACACACACACACACACACACACACACACACACACACACACACACACACACACACACACTCCCATTAGTCGCCTTACATACACGCGCGCACGCACGCACGAACACACACACACACACGCACGCACGCACGCACGCACGCACGCACATACACACACACACACACACACACACACACACACACACACACACACACACACACACACACACACTCCCATTAGTCGCCTTACATACACGCGCGCACACACACACACGCACGCACACGCACACACACACACACACACACACACACACACAGAGCTTTATAAATGCAATAATCTTGGATGTTGCGTTGAACCCCATTCCCCCTCACCTATTAAGGTGACTAGAGGCATGGAGTTTTCTGTTTTAGAGTTTCACTGTGTTTTGACTTTTTCTGTTTCATAGTTTCACTGTGTTTTGACTTGTTATTAAGGTAGGACCATGTTGTAGTGCACTAAACAACATTAGGGATCAAAGATAAATAGAGATAGATATTGGTGAGGTAAACTGTCAACCGATTTGGGAAAGTGAAAATGGTTGATGATGCAGGTTTCTGGTGACAAAGTTTGGGGGCATTCAGGAAGTAGTGGGATGGGGCTGCTACTATGTTCTTGTTCCTAATTGTGAATGGTCATACAGGGTTGTGTACTACTGATGTATATATTCCAGCGAATGTCTTCATTCCATACTACACGGGTCTTGTGATTGATGGAATCGCCATCGAGAAGTCTCGGGAAAAGTTCACCCATGCCATCATCATCATGGCCTTAATTTCAGTCGGCAGGTAAGTTAATAAGAATAGTCATTATTTACTTGACCCGTGAAGATTCCGGGGTAGAATAGGTCTTCAGCAACCCATGCTTACCGTAAAAGGTGACTATGCTTGTCGTAAAAGGCAACTAACGGGATCGGGTGGTCAGGCTGCTGACTTGGTTGATGCATGCCATCGTATCCCAATTGCGTGGATCGATGCTCATGATGTCAATCACTGGATTGTCTGGTCCAGACTCGATTATTTTACAGACCGCCGTCATATAGCTGGAATATTGCTGAGTGTGGCCTTAAACAACAAACAAACAAACAAACAAACAAATAAACATTATTCACCTCAATTAAAACAAATAGACTGATAGGTAATTTATTGTAAACCACATTTATTGTAAACAGCAATTAATTAGCATAAGGTTACATTAATAATGTTATTTAAATAGATCAGGTAAACAGTTTAGTATACTGATTTCTAAGTAACATAAATTAGTTAGCAAGGAAGCAACAGTGTCTGTAGAATGTATAACCATGGTAGCAACCATTTCAGCCTATAGCAACGGGTGTGCAGGAAGGCTGCAGTATTTCTATACTGTATAACCATAGTAATGGAACCGATTCTCAAGGGCAATAGCAACAGGTGTGCAGGGAGGCTGCGGTGTGTCTCAATACTGTGTAACCATGGTAACAGAACTGATTATTCTGTGTCATAGCAACAGGTGTGCAGGGAGGCTGCGGTGTGTCTCAATACTGTGTAACCATGGTAACAAAACTGATTATTCTGTGTCATAGCAACAGGTGTGCAGGGAGGCTGCAGTGAATCTCTATATTGTGTAACCATGGTAACATAACTGATTATCAAGTGCCATAGCAACAGGTGTGCTGGGAGGCTGAAGTGTATCTCTATACTGTGTCACCATGGTAACGAAACTGATTATTCTGTGTCAGAGCAACAGGTGTGCAGGGAGGCCGCAGTGTCTCCATACTGTGTCACCATGGTAACAGAACTGATTATTCTGTGTCATAGCAACAGGTGTGCAGGGAGGCTGCAGTGTGTCTCTATACTGTGTCACCATGGTAACAGAACTGATTATTCTGTGCCTTAGCAACGGGTGTGCATGAAGGCTGCAGTGTTTCTATACTGTGTAATGAGCTAGAAACTAACATTTTCAGTCCACTAGTCTTTATAATGATACCATACAGCAAATTAAACCCTTAAAAAAGGCAAATTTCTGCTAGTCCTTGTGATACCCGAAATATTGGGCAGTTTGGCAAGGACTACAGGTCTAGTGCCAATTTCTAATGCTAGTAATCATGGTGACACAACTTTTTCTTCAGTGCCATAGCAACGGGTGTGAGGGGAGGCTGTCTGTTCCTGGCGCTGCAGAGACTCAACATCCGCATCAGGAACATTCTGTTCTCCTCCATCATGACGCAGGAGGTCGGTTTCTTCGACACTGTCAGGACAGGTGAGGCGCCGTCAAGTAATACAACCTAGTCTGTCACTGTGTCACATGACATACACTCACCTGTCGGGAGCTACCGTAATGTGCTCATAGGTTTCCATCATGACAAAGGAGGTCGGCTTCTCTGACACTGCCAAGACAGGTGAGGCGCCGTCAAGTAATACAACCTAGTCTGTCACTGTGTCACATGACATACACTCACCTGTCGGGAGCTACCGTAATGTGCTCATAGGTTTCCATCATGACAAAGGAGGTCGGCTTCTCTGACACTGCCAAGACAGGTGAGGCGCTGTCAAGTAATACAACCTGGGAACTAATGGTCTGTCACTGTGTCACATGACATACACTCACCTGTCGGGATCTACCGTAAGGTGCTCGTAGGTTTCCATTATGACGCAGGAGGTGGGCTTCTTCGACACTGTCAGGACAGGTGAGGCGCTGTCAAGTAATACAACCTGGTCTGTCACTGTGTCACATGACATACACTCACCTGTCGGGATCTACTGTAATGTGCTGGTTGGTGTCACCAATCTCATTAATATCAGATTTCGCTACAGCTAAACAAAGATCTGAGGCCTGCTTTCTGATTGGCTAATGCCCACTTCTTGTTAGTCACTTCATTGGTCGGTAGAAGTTCACGGAAATGTTGTTTTTACATGACCCGTAATGGGATGTCCTGTAGCGGTAGCGAGAACTAAGATCTGATGTTAATGAGATTTAGGTTTCACCAAAGTGGTAACCAACTGACATTATTTCCTCCCACATAAGCTGACATCATAGGCGGATCCAGTTGGGGAAGTCCAGGGAGTCCACACATTTTGAAAACCAAATGTAGTGTTGTAGGCAGTAAAATTATCTGAGAGAGAATTTTGATATATTGGACCCCTCCCTTTTAAAAATGCTGGATGCTGTAAAAGCCAGCTTACTCACTCATACAATATGTTAAGAGTTGTGTATTTTTATTAATGTATGGAACTGATGTTTTAGGTGACATCACATCAAGGCTGACATCGGACACGACGACCACAAGTGATGCCATCACACTCAACGTTAACATCTTTCTCAGGAGCCTCATCACAGCATGTAAGCCTCTAGTTTAAAACTGATGTATCACTGATTCATGAAGATAGCATATGTCTATAGTGAGTGAGGGACCAGGCACACCAAAGGGCTCACTCGACTCGACTCGACCTGACTAAATCACCCACCCACCCACCCACCCACCCACCCACCCACTCGACTCGACTCGACTAAATCCACCCACTGATTGTCATGTGCCATAACAACGGGTGTGCAGGGAGGCTGCAAGTCTCCATACTGTATAACCATGGTAACAGAACAGATTATCCAGTGCCATAGCAACGGGCGTGCAGGGTGGCTGCAAGTCTCTATACTGTATAACCATGGTAACAGAACTGATTATCCAGTGCCATAGCAACAGGTGTGCAGGAAGGTTGCTGTGTCTCTATACTGTGTAACCATGGTAACAGAACAGATTATCCAGTGCCATAGCAACAGGCGTGCAGGAAGGCTGCTGTGTCTCTACACCGTTTAACAATGGTTAAACTCATTCACTCACTCTCGACTCACTCAACCACTTACTCAACCACTTACTCAACCATTTACTCAACCACTCACTCAACCACTCAACCACTCACTCAACCACTCACTCAACCACTTGCTCAACCACTTACTCAACCACTCAACCACCCCCTCATGAGCCCAAAACATGGGTAACAGGCGATTACTCCTGACAACTATGTGTGTATCCATGGTAACTGTTTCCATGACAGGTGGGACAGTGTTCTTCATGATCAAGCTGTCCTGGAGGATGAGCCTTGTCACCTTTATTGGTCTCCCCATCGTCATCGGCGTTGCTCAAGTCTACGGTGACTACTATGAGGTAGGCAACATTACAGGGTGTCCCTACTGCTACCAGGCCAATTTAATGTCCTGTTTTGCAGCTTTCTTTGTCATTTGCAAATTCTAGGCAAATAAATAAGATATAGCTTACGGTGTCAGGAGATAAGAACTTTTAGCTTAGTGTTCGGTCAATCGCAAAAAAAAGAAACAAGAAACAACATACAATGTATTTGATCAATTATTTTTTAAATCGTTTGATAAATTATTATTTAAGAACTTAATAGTTGATTTTGTTGGAGTGTTGTTATTTTTGTGGCTTTTGGTACCCATCTCACAAATCCATTAACCAAACAATGAAAAAAAGTGTTACCTTGATACTAATACATAATCAAAACATAACATATTTTCATTTATACATTTATATTCATATTATACTTTTTTCAAAACTTAGAGTAGGCCTATCCATGGTATCCAGATTTCTATTAGTCCTAGCTTGATTACACTTGAGCAGTGACATATTTGCTGGTGAATTATGGGACTGAACTATGTATATGGTTCGCCACGTATCAGGGGTGTTCCCAACATACGTCATCACTTACTACACTTATCACACACGATGCACAGCCAAAAGATGAAATAACAACAAAGAGAGAAACAAAGATGTTTTCAGGGTAACAATGCACCCAATGACCAGTAGAATACAAAATTAATCTGTTGTGTTATTGTAACAGTAGTGGATAGCATGAAGTGCACCCCCACCTAATGTAAGTCACTACACCTATGTTAATCTAGACACCTATGTTAATCAAGACGCCTAATGATAATCTAGACACCTAATGATAATCTAGACACCTATGTTAATCTAGACACCTATGTTAATCAAGACGCCTAATGATAATATAGACACCTTATGTTAATCAAGACGCCTAATGATAATCTAGACACCTTATGTTAATCAAGACACCTAATGATAATCTAGACACCTTATGTTAATCAAGACGCCTAATGATAATCTAGACACCTTATGTTAATCAAGACACCTAATGATAATCTAGACACCTTATGTTAATCAAGACGCCTAATGATAATCTAGACACCTTATGTTAATCAAGACACCTAATGTAAATCAAGACACCTAATGTTAATCAAGACACCTAATGTAAATCAAGACACCTAATGTAAATCTTGACACCTTATGTTAATCAAGACACCTAATGTAAATCAAGACACCTAATGTTAATCTTGACACCTAATGTAAATCTTGACACCTAATGTCAGTTAAGACACCTAATGTCATTCAAGACACCTAATGTCAATCAAGACACCTAATGTTAATCAAGACACCTAATGTTAATCAAGACACCTAATGTAAATCTTGACACCTAATGTTAATCAAGACACCTAATGTAAATCAAGACACCTAATGTTAATCTTGACACCTAATGTAAATCTTGACACCTAATGTCAATCAAGACACCTAATGTTAATCAAGACACCTAATGTTAATCAAGACACCTAATGTTAATCAAGACACCTAATGTCAATCAAGACACCTAAAGTATATAATGACACCTAATATTAATCTCAACACCTTAAGTTTATCATGACACCTAATATTACTCTTGACACCTAATGTTAATCTGACACCACATGTTACTCTCGACACCTAGTGTTAATCATGACACCTAATATTACTCTCGACACCTGATGTTAATCTGGACACCCTGGTTTTCCTCCCCACCAGGTGCTGGCGAAGCAGGTCCAAGACAGCCTGGCTAAGGCCAACGAGATAGCAGAGGAGGCCTGTTCGTCACTGAGGACGGTCCGCAGTTTCGCCAACGAACGGAGCGAGGTGTCAAGATATAAGGTGTCACTGGGGGACACCTACAAGCTGTACAAGAAGGAGGCTATAGTGTATGCGGGCTACCTGTGGTCCAACCAGGTAACAAGATTTTTGTTTGTTGTTTTATGCCGCATTCAGCAATATTCCAGCTATATGATGGCAGGCTGTAAATAATTGAGTCTTGACCAGATAATCCAGTGATTGACATCATGAGCATTGATTCACGCAACTGGGATACAATGACATGCATTAACCAAATCAGCGAGCCTGACCACCTGATCCCATTAGTGGCCTCTTACGACAAGTATAGTCGCCTTTTACGGAAAGCATGGGTTCTACCCTGGATCTTCACGGGTCAACAAGATGCTGGGGATACAGTAGAATGCCATCTGACCCCGGAAGTCCCAGCATTTGTGAATTGAGAAAGGATACGGATCCTTTTTGGCCCGTTGTAAATGCCATTTAAAGGTCTTTGAGATATTGGTTTGAAAACTATCAGATATATATAGCTGGCAAATAATGTACTTTTATCCCCTAAACTTGTACCGGTATGTAATTTTGGAGGGAAAGTGGATTATTTAGGAAAAAGCAGTACCTGTGAATTTGATACAGGTGTTGATATGAAGTCAAATTCTTTTTCATATGGACCCGTAATGATTTCTGTGTATTTTAGGCATTTCTTAAATTTTGTTGACCCTGTGTTTGTAAAATGCCCTTATCTTGCCCATTGTTAATCCAGACGATGTGACAGGGAACTATCAGGGAAGTCCATTGTGTCTTGCAGGTGCTTGTTTTGATGACATTTGTTTTGTATGGCCTGTGTACCTATGTCAGGCTGGGAAATATTTGGGGGGCAATTTTCTGAGGTGTGTTCCTAAGGTGTGCCAGAAACGTCTAATCTTGGGTTCGAATTAGGTTTGCATCATGTGCATCATACCTGTTTTCTTGGGTTTGACCAAAATGGTGAACATCTGGGACTTGCATTACTTGATCTTTCTACATCATGCTGACACGCCGGGATATAACTGAAATACTGTTCAAGCAGTGTTAAACCAAGCCGACACATTAATTCAATCACTCAATCAATTTTCAACTAGTGTCCTCAATCATACCCGCTTGCGAACTAAAGCAGTGTCTGTATTTCAAAGAGTTTGTCAATAGTTGTGATTTAATTTAATTATTAGCTGCAATTCATAATGTGTAAGACATCATTGTTTATGCATTTACTGAGAAAATTAACAGTTTGGGGTGGTGCATGGGCTTAAATTTTTTTAAAGAATTGTTCCTCAGGCATTGGCTTTTGAAAATATAGTGTGGGCTGGCGGCCATTTGTTTTTTAACTAGTATGTTACCAAATAGACAGTTGTGTACAATCAACCAAAGAAGTGGCCTCCCTACATAAATGTATTCCTTGATGAGTAAAATACTGGAATACAGTATTTGACTATCGTCGAACTACCGGCAAATGCATAATACTCGCATACAATGAGCTTGATTCTATTTCACAATGCAAAAAAACGTTATCATGAGCACATAACACCAGAGGAAGCATGTCTGTTCTGAATCACGCAAGTTACTCCTATTATTACACATCTGGCTATAAAAGTGTTCATTGTGTATCTGGACTTGCGGGGGGCGGTCGGGTAGCCTAATGGTTAACTCGTTCGCTCGTCACGCTGAAGACCCGGGTTTAGATTCCCGACATGGGTACAATATGTGAAGCCCATTTCTGGTGTCCCCCGCCGTGATATTGCTGGAATATTGCTAAAAGCGGAGTAAAACCATACTCACTCACTCACTCACTCACTCACTCACTCACTCACTCACTCACTCACTCACTCACTCACTCACTCACTCACTCTTGACTTACGTTGTAATCCATTATATTACTTTTCTGCAAGATTTCCTTCAATTTCGGCGAAATCGTGTATGATCTGTTTGGCAGATCACCTCAACTCACTGTGAATGTGCCTTGAAATGAACATTAGTTGTTAGAGATGCAAACTTTTTGGCCTTCCTATCAATTTTCAATTTTCTTTTCAGTTGTGATATTGGCCATGACATGAAGCTGGTTACTATTTCTGGCTTAATTTTCAAGACAAATACACATGTAACCATATTCTCTGCCTATGAAACATTGTACACAGTACATAAATACGATTGAATTTGTAAATCATCATATCTAGTGATGTTTTATTAAGAATCCATACCGTATTCGACGTAATAAGCGTCCACGGCGATATTTGCTAATATATTGCCTAGTGAACAATACCAATTAGCACCCCTTCCGATTGATCAATGTACACAACACTTATTTACTCGTGTATAATATGCACTCGTGTGTTATATGCACCCTTAACTATGGGACATTAAATTCTGGAAAAAGGTACCTCTCGTATATAAACATTTCAGGCTGTCAGTATAAACCACGAAATTTATCTTTCAACTTTCTTTTTTTTTTCACCAAAATAATATTCTAATAAGAGCCCCCTATTTCTAATTTTGAGAGCGCCCTGGGCGCTTATTATGTCGAATACAGTATATATTTTTCATTGACCAAATTTGCAGGGCAATACAAGCACACAACTATTGTGATGCGAAGTGCATCAGTGTGCTTGTAAAGGGAAGTAACTCCACGCTGTATTGTTTCGTGTTGTTTAAAAGTAATATAGCACTTCACTGCCAGGGTTGTGTGTTAAAGACGTGGAATAGTTAAGGATTTTTATTTGTTTTGAAAATGGAAATATTAACGAAATTAACTTTGAAATGATGCGGCGTTGCCTGAGAACCAAGAATATCTTTTCTTTTAGCCTTATGCAATGAATACAGTATATGTATGAATAGGATGGTAGATGTTTGGCAGCATGTAAAGAATCTGTCTGCTGTTTCCTCCCCAGTTGTTTGAGCTGGCTCTCACTGTCGGGGTGCTGTACTATGGCGGCCATCTTGTGATAGCCAACTTGATCAGTGGTGGCAACCTTGTGTCTTTCATCCTGTACCAGATAGAGCTGGGCCAGTGTCTGGAGGTGAGTAGTGAATTAGTGTTACGAGGTGACTTCCAAATTGAAATGCAAAGGTTAACCACAAATCAGTGCGAATTGTGAAATCAGTAAACAACCATACAAGATCAATGTGCAATCAGTAAATGATAATCAAACACACAGTTTTAGGTTTACAATGAAAATAGGCAATACAGTAGGTCAAGTAAGAGGCAGCCGCAATAAGTAATGACCCTAGAGTATATATATCAGAGCACTCATGAATGTCTATTATTGCTGTCTCTGTTGAATGGGGGGAAGGGTGGCCCAGTCGTCTAAGGCACCGCTATTCGCTGTGCAGAGTTGTGTCCCTTGGGCAAGCCAGAAACCTATGATTGTGGGTTCGAATCCTGGTTCGGCCCGATTATGTTTCTAGGTTTGTCAGCACCATACCCGTGCTCATGGGTTTCCCCGAAGTGGTAAATGTCTGACACACCGTGATATAACTGGAATACTGTTAAAAGCGGTGTTAAACCCAACTCACTCACTCACTCTGTTGAATGCCTTGAAACAGGCCTGTCTCAATTGTTTCATCCAGAATAAAGCTGGCAGGAATTCAGTGTTGTAAGAAAGGTAACCAATCTGAACTTTGCAAGTAGGTAAGATGCAAGTCAGGTCAAAAAGGCCTTGAATCATCCATGTGTCACTCTTGGCACAGCCAGGCTTCTAGAAAGTATCCTATCACGAAACTTCTCAAACCATCAAGCTTCCCCTTGTTTGTCAACAAGCTCCTCCCAGCGATAGCCTATTCACGGAGCTCTCCATACTATCGGGAGTGTGAATTAAATGCGATAAAATGCGAGTGGTCTTTGCTCGCATTATTAAATATCGCATTTATATCAACAATAAGACATTTTGGATAGCAGAAATACCAACTTAGACATACGCTGAAAACAAACAACTATGTATTCCACATCACTGTTTATTGAGCAGCACTTGTAACAAATATATGAACAATGTCATTCAAACACTAATTATATCCTGTCAATTGTCACTGCTGGGGTCAAGACAAGAGTTTTACTCACTTATGTCATCACTGATCACACTTGCAAGTCCAGACAGACGCCACCCATGCAACATGCGACTGTGTCAAAGGCCAACACTAGCCAGCGCGCATGTATTGTTTTAGCGGAAGTACTCTACTCAGCGCTAATAAGCTGTGGTATTTGGTGTGTGATTGGATTAATGTAAGATTGGATGGTGAGGATTCTCCTGTAAACCTGACAGAATACAATTTGTTTAGATATAAATCCACTGATGCTTGAGAGGAGGGGGGTGTCGCATTCATATTGAGTCGCATTAATTTCACGATTTACAGTATCATGTAATTGACATAGTAAGAATGTAAGGTGGGAGTTGGTTGATTTACTGTTGCCTGCTCTCTCGAACCAATCTGATTAAACAAACAAAAAGATAAATTTATCCGGGAAATATGTTCAGTCATAAACTTTATCAAAATTCACTTTGATGGCATACCCAAAGATATAAACAAGAGTATAAACATTAATACATTTGCGGTTAGAGGGCATAACAGGTATTTCAATATTCTTGTAATGGCTGCGCCTATTCTGGTAGCAGCGATGTTACTGAGAGCGTAACGAAGGTGTCACGTGCTGGGAAGGAGCTTGGTGTGTCAATAACCAAGGGAGGTAATTCTAATTTCCTGTTAAATATGACCATGACATTACCAGACATATTACCAGCGTGTCTTTACCAATCATCTGCTGCCATTGCTCACTACAAATAAATCTACAATAATTTCCACATAACAAAAAAGAGCAGGGCCCACTTGCACAAAGCGATCTTAGCGCTAAGACTATCGTAAGCCTATGTTAAAGTATGGGAGTTATGATCATCTTAGCGCTAAGATAAGGTAAGTCCTCTTCCAGGTAGAGTTGGTTCAGTGTCTAGAGGGGAAAGCAGTTAGTGCTGAGCATTACTGTAATTTCTTTGTTTCTTGTATTTTTAGCATAATCAAAGTTACAAACTACCGAATGATATCACCTAATGAAATGTCCCACATGTGATGTCTGTTCTAGAGTATTGGTTCCGTGTATACTGGCCTGATGCAGGCTATCGGGGCCTCTGAGAAAGTGTTCGAGTACATGGACAGGAAACCAGTGATCACAAACACAGGAAGCTACGCGCCAGACAAGATGGAAGGTCATCTAGAGTTCCGGAATGTCAGCTTCTCCTACCCATCCCGCCCTGACTCTCTGGTGTTGAAGGTAGGTGGCGCTGTCTTTGTGTACTGATGAAGGCAAGTAAGGGAATAATGATTTTATATTCCGGGTGTAGGGGCTGGTATTTTTGTTACTCCTTCTATTCATAATATATGTGCTTTGGAATAATGACTAAAACAATTAGCATTTTCTACCCAAACTTTTTTCTGGGCAAAAAATAATTTTATTTTATATCTTTTAAATCTCCAAAATTACATTACCTTCAATTTAACCTCAGCACCTATAACTTTCTTAAAAGTCAGACATTTTTTAAAAGTTTGGACGAAATGGATGATTCAGTGTCATCTTCCACTTTCTGATTGGTCAGTCATAATGTTTGTTTGACTGGTGCTGATAGGTTAATTCTGTACTATATTATGTTTTGGGGTCTAGAATGTGTCGTTCAGTGTGCGTCCAGGGGAGGTGGTGGCACTGGTTGGTCCAAGTGGAGGCGGCAAGAGCTCCTGTGTCAACCTACTGGAACACTTCTACGAGACAGTTACTGGGGACGTCCTGCTGGACGACGTGCCGATACACCAGTATGACCACAAGTACCTGCACAGAAAGGTGAGGGACACAATATATTTTACTGTCTCTATGTTCTCAACACAGTTCCAAGTCCGAGGTCCCCTATGAAGTACTTTTTGGCCGAGTTCCAAGTTGAAAACCTATCATGAGGAGCTCTAAAGTAACAGAGAAATAGAGAGTCTCACCCGTGTGTCTTTTGATATCAAATATATTAACACGAGTTGTTTAAAGTGGAAAAACTCTGAGGCTTGCCGAGGTTTTTTTCCACTTTTATCAACGAGTGTTGATATATTTGATATCAAAAGACACTCAGGTAAGATTTTATTTATTATCCAACATCCTTCTTCCAACTTTTTTGTTTGTAGACAGTAATAAGCAGTGTCTTAAGTGTAAAAAGTACTGCTAACAGCTTCATTAGCAGAGCCATTAGTGATGTCATTTGACTGTGATGTCATGGTAACCAATGACATCACAATGGTCCGCAAAGCATTATGATGCAGTTTCATTGCAGTGATATCTACAATTTAGATATGATATGATACACAGTTTGGCGAAAAGGGGACTCACCTCTCAGGAAGGGGGAGTAACTCTTATTAAAGCTGTTTGTCACTGTTTGATGCTGTAGGTATCCCTGGTGGGCCAGGAACCGGTGCTGTATGCTCGGAGTATCCGGGAGAACATCGGGTATGGTTTGGACGATTGCACGAATCAGGAGGTCGAGCAGGCCGCCATCATGGCCAATGCTCACCAGTTCATTATTGAAATGTCGGACAAATATGATACACAGACTGGAGAGAAGGGGACACAACTCTCAGGTAGGGGAAGTCACTCCGATGAAGCTACATAAAACAGTTGTATGGTATGCATTCTAAGGGTAGTGGACCGCCTTCATGGTCTGGTGGTAGAGCTTCTTGCCAGAGAGCTGAAGGTCAGGGGTTCGGTCCACGGTTGTGTGATACCAAAAGATGTTAGACCATGATGCTACACACTTCGTCTTGGAGAAGTCACACAAAGTTAACAATATTATGCACATTCTATAGTTAGAAGAGTTAGAATGAATGTTTCAGGTGTTTTGAATTGTGCAGGAACTGGAGGGTTATAATTTGCCCAAAAGGTTTGCACATAGCAAACACATTTTAAGTAGACTATTGCAGATGCAATGTTTGGGCAAGGTGAATAACTACCAGATATTTATCATACATGATTCCACTTCTCTTAAACAATCAAATTCTGCCGATAAGGTCTAGTCATGGGGTACACATTCTGAGGATAGATGTTCAAACAGGGGAAATAACTGTCAGATAACCCTTTATCTGAATTACCTCCCCTGTTTTAGCGGCACAACCTGCTTACGCAAACAAAACGTTTTGATACAAATCTTAGAGTTCAATCGTTCTTGCTTTGATGGATAAATCTGAATAGAGTTTTTCAACCATGTTTAATGTGCAGGGGGACAGAAGCAGAGGATTGCTATTGCGCGGGCGCTGATCCGGAACCCGGTGGTCCTACTGTTGGACGAGGCGACGAGTGCTCTGGACTCGGAGTCAGAACATGTGGTTAGTGATGAGTTGCTGTGTTGGGGAGAAAAAGGCTGACATTTGATAAAGTGTAACATTTCAGTGTCTGCATCACAATCCTATGTTGAACTCTCAGTGTTCATACTCATTATGATATGGTTATGGGCAGTCTTGATTTTTCTAATGCTTTGTTGATTATGTTTGTCAGCACCATACCTGTGCTCGTGGGTATCACCGAAGTGGTAAACGCCTGAGATCTGCGTCACTTCGGGCTTTCCTCCCACATTAAGCTGACACGCCGCGATATAACTGGAATACTGTTAAAAGCGGCGTTAAACACAACTCACTCACTCACTCACTGACAGACTCACTCACTCACTCACTCACTCACTCACTCACTCTTACCATGGAATGACTTGTAATTTATTTATCTCTGTATGTTTCTGGTTGAAGTGTTTGTCCTTCTTTCCTCCAGGTCCAGCAAGCCCTGTACAGTAACGTGAAAGGCCGGACTGTGTTGATCATAGCTCACCGGCTCAGCACAGTTGAGCGAGCTCACCGTATCGTCGTCATCAACAAGGGTGCCATCGTGGAACAAGGAACTCACATGGAGCTACTCGCCAATAGAGGCATGTACGCCAACCTCGTCAAGAGACAGATGCTTGGTTTTGATGAGATGTCTTCTAAAAATGATACTCATTATCATTCCCCTCCACGAACTATGACGTCGCACGTGTCTGTCCATGCAGGGTCAGTGTCCCCGGACTTCCGATCGTGTAGCAGCACCCCTCCCCGAGCCTCCTTCCATGTTGGCTCAACTCTCTGACCCTTGACCTGTGTAGCAGACGCCAGTTTTACTAGTTGAGTTCGGATCTCAAAGGACCTGTGAAGAGCTTCAGGAATCAGTGAAGAGGATGCAGATGAGCTCAAGGTCGTTTTGGATACAGAAGGTTCAAGTTAACCTTGTGGAATTATAGCCAGGTTTAAGAAATATGGGATCACAGGACCTACTCAGGACCACACGACCCATTCAGAAGTGGAGAGTTATTTGTTTTATTCAAACCTCCTTGCAATCAGAGTGAGTGAGAGATTATGAACTTTTTGTGGCAACAACTTGAAATCCAGATGCCATCTGCCCATGTATCCATCCATGAAACCATTTCTGGTGTCCCCTGCCGTGATATTGCTGGAATATTGCTAAAAGCAGCGCAAAACCATACTCACTCACTCACTCTATCCATGAAGTGTCCCGGTATTGACTCTCACTGTGGATTCTGTGGAGGTTCCAAATGATTTTAAACTCCTGGTTCTCAGAATTGCCATTGTCTTTCAGTTTACCTACATATGCATCATGAGTACATGATAGTTATAAGCTACTGTTCAGGGAATGTTACAGCTTCAGGGTTTTACCTTGACCTTCACAGGTAGGGGCCCAGGGGATCCCAGTAATAAATTGTAACGGTTCTGTAAAGTCGTGGCAACTTCCAAACTTTTGGGAAGTTGTAATCAATCGGACCGTCATTCAGGCGATGTTTCTGACAGATCACAATCTGAAAAATAGTATCATGAAAGTGTATCCCGTGGATAAGCCGACCCCTTTATACAGAATTGTTTTTCTGATACTCAAAATTCGGCTTATACGTGGTCATATACGGTAATAAAATGGTGTAGTGTACTGTACTGTAAGATTTGATAATTATTTGATTACAGGACCTTTATATTCCTTGTCAAAAAATGGGTACAATTAATATTACTTCCTCGGGATATTTTTTGTTGATGCATCCATTATATACATTTGTGTGTTCTGGATGCACAGTTCTGTGCCGTGTAAGACCCTGAAGTTATAATTTTCTGTATTACATATTCAGCCCCAGAGTTGTATGCTGCCTGGTGCCAGGTGTTGCTATGGTGATTGTAGATAAAGACTTTTGTAGATATACAACTGATGATACACCCTTGTCGATATAGAGATACACTATAACTGTCGCTATTGTGTTTGATATTTAACAGTGTTCTCAGGTATATTCCATCTGTATCAGTGCAGCTTGTAGATAATCAATCTGGACCAGACAGTCCAGTGATTGATATTATGTGTAACATCCTGCGATGTGTTTGTGAGCCTTGTCTCACATGAAGAATATGTGTGTCATGATATTTGGAAAGTAACGTTATGTTGTTAAGATGTGTCACAATATTGCTGAGTGCGGTGTTAAACAACATGAAACATGTTGTCTCACATGAAGAATATGTGTGTCATGATATTTGGAAAGTAACGTTATGTTGTTAGGGTGTGTTTGTGAACCTTGTCTCACATGAAGAATATGTGTGTCATGATATTTGGAAAGTAACGTTATGTTGTTAAGATGTGTCACAATATTGCTGAGTGCGGTGTTAAACAACATGAAACATGTTGTCTCACATGAAGAATATGTGTGTCATGATATTTGGAAAGTAACGTCGTGTTGTTAAGATGTGTTTGTAAGCCTTGTCTCACATAAAGAATATGTGTGTCATGATATTTGGAAAGTAACGTCGTGTTGTTAAGATGTGTTTGTAAGCCTTGTCTCACATAAAGAATATGTGTGTCATGATATTTGGAAAGTAACGTCGTGTTGTTAAGATGTGTTTGTAAGCCTTGTCTCACATGAAGAATATGTGTGTCATGATATTTGGAAAGTAACGTTATGTTGTTAAGGTGAGTTTGTGAACCTTGTCTCACATGAAGAATATGTGTGTCATGATATTTGGAAAGTAACGTTATGTTGTTAAGATGTTTCACAATATTGCTGAGTGCGGTGTTAAACAACATGAAACATGTTGTCTCACATGAAGAATATGTGTGTCATGATATTTGGGAAGTAACGCCATGTTGTTAGGGTGTGTTTGTGAGCCTTGTCTCACATGAAGAATATGTGTGTCATGATATTTGGGAAGTAACGCCATGTTGTTAGGGTGTGTTTGTGAGCCTTGTCTCACATGAAGAATATGTGTGTCATGATATTTGGAAAGTAACGTTATGTTGTTAAGGTGTGTTTGTGAGCCTTGTCCCACATGAAGAATATGTGTGTCATGATATTTGGAAAGTATGGCTATATTGTTATTGGATATGAAATAAATAAAATCAGATCTTAGTTCTCACTACTGCTAAACAAAGATCTGAGGACATCCCATTAGGGGTCACGTCAGAACGACCTTTCATCCGGCCAATCAGAGCGTCGCTTACCAGATCATGAAAGTGACAGTCGGAATGTGATTCCTGATCATGAAGCCTCGAAAACTTTAACACGGGTTTTTTTTACCGAACGATAGTTACGGGCTTTACGACTGAATCCATACAATCTAGACCATCTATTAGCCATCCCAGAATGTTCTTTTGTTCAGGTTTCAATTTTTTAATTGAGAATTTGTCAAAATCTGTTTCGAAGTGTAGTCGCCAATTAGACATTAGTGCCTTAAAGCAAGAGAAAGCTGCTTTCTGATTGGCTAATGTCAACTTCTTGTCAGTCATTCCAATGGTCGGTCAAAGTTTGCAAAAGGTCGGTCTGACGTGACCCGTATTAGGGTGTCCTCAGATTTTTGTTTAGCAGTAGTGAGAACTAAGATCTGATTTTATTTATTTACAGATCACCGCCGTATAGCTGGAATATTGCTGAGTGCGGTGTTAAACAACATGAAACAAACCAAACACTGATATGACTCACAAATTCTTAAATTGGATGCCAGGGCAAATTAAGTGGTAAGCCAGGTTAGCAAATAAATATTTGAAAGCCTTCAAAGAATTTGGCCAGGACAGCCAATTTGCCTGAGGTCAGTACCTCTTTAATATCAGCTTGCCAAAGAAAATAACCCACTTTATCTCCACATGTAAAGCTCTACAGGATTTATGAGATTTATCATATATGTTCATCATTTGGTTACCATCATGTGTTCATTGTCCATTCTGGGGTCACAGGAGTCCCAGTGGTCTAAGCTGCTGCAATTGTTGTGCAGAGTGGTGTCCCTTTAATGTACCAGGATCTACAGATCATAGCTGACACATTTGCCTTGTTTGTGATCATTGTACTGTACTCATATTTGTAAGTTTCATTAAAATGTAATCATCATCAACTTCTATCATTTTGGGCTTTCGGGGTTTCCTACCATATTAACCCGTCAGTGATACAACTTAATTACTGTTCAAAGTGGTCTTGAAATCAACTTAGTCCGGCAGAATTATTTTTGCTGAACATTGTGTGTCAGAGGCAACCAGCATTTTTCTCTGAGCACATCTGAGTTCTTCTTACACTCAAGGTGAAGCCCATTTCTGGTGTCTCCCCTCCCCCCATGGTCAAACCCAACTCGGGGCGGTCGGGTAGCCTAGTGGTTAAAGCGTTCGCTCGTCACGCCGAAGACCCAGGTTCGATTCCCGACATGGGTACAATGTGTGAAGCCCATTTCTGGTGTCCCCCGCCGTGATATTGCTGGAATATTGCTAAAAGCGGTGTACTCACTCACTCACTCAAACCCAACTCACTCAGTCAGTCTTCCTACTTATTATATCAGCATTTTTACCAGATTTAGCTTGTCTCAACTATACAACTATCCCGAATAAAAAAACTGTTTATTTTCTACACTGATGGCAGTTTGTGCTATCTTGTTATTTGTTAGAAAAGTGTATACTACTCAACTTTTGTAAGAGATAATGAAATAAAAAATTGGATTTAAATATACACTTGACATATCATGAGAATCATTTTTGTTTATCATGGAAAGATTTTGATTTGTTTGATTTTCCTTTAAGGCCACTATGATATTCCAGCTATATGATTGCATTCTGTAAATAATCAAGTCTGGACCAGACAATACAGTTATTGATATCATGAGCATCAATCCATGCAATTGGGATACGATTACATGAATAAATCAAGTCAGCGAGTCTGACCACCGGGTCCAGTTAGTCGCCTCTTACGACAAGCATAGTCACCTTTTACAGCAAGCATGGGTTTCTTAAGACCTATTCTACCCCGGATCTCCACGGGTCTCATGGAAAGATGAAAACATCCCTATCAAAAGTGGAGTAGTATATTATAATGTGATAATACTGTATTCGACGTAATAAGTGCCCACGGCGATATTTGCTGATATATTGGCTAGTGAACAATCCCAATTAGCACTCCTTCTGATTGATCAATGTACACAAGACTTATTTATTCGCGTATAATACGCACTCTTGTGTTATATGCATTCTTTATTATGGGCAATTAAATTCTGGAAAAGTTTATCTGTCGCATATAAACATTCCAGTGTGTCAGCATAAACCACAAAATTTATCTTTCAACTCTCTTTTTTCCACCAAAATAATATTCTAATAAGAGCCCCCTATTTCTAATTTTGAGAGCGCCCTGGGTGCTTATTACGTTGAATATGGTAGTAATGTTTTTGCAATGTTTATGTATGTACATTTTGTAATTAATTTCTTGGCTGCTAACAACTTCGTTTAAAACAAGGTCACCAGGTACTTGGTGTTCACATCTTCATGGAACATCGCTATGGTAACCTACTGCTCAGTTTTTGTGAAACCACATAGATCTAAAAATAACCAGCCAATCGAAACTCTACTTTTGAAGATCTTAATCTATTAAATGTTGTTTATATATGTTTTACCATTTAAACGGAAATGTGTGCAAGATGTAAACTTTACTCCGTCAGTCAGTAGATCTGAATGTTTGTATGTACAGGGAGAGTAGCCTGTCTGTGATAAGGGTGTGTGTACATTGTTCAACCAACAATAAAAGTCTAAATCACTGCAGTTGTTTGTTACATGAGGTGACGGGCATTGACCCCCTCCCAGCATTTATAATTCTCCCACCATGTTTATGGCAATCTCATTGAAATCAGATCTTAGTTCTCGCTACTGCTAAACAAAGATCTGAGGACATCCCATTACGGGTCACGTTAGACCAACCTTGCGCGAACTTTGACCGTACAATGGAATGACCAATCAGAAGGCAGCTTTCTCGTGCTTTTTCGGCACTAATACCAAATTGGCTTCGAAACATATTTTGACAAATTCTCGATTACAAATTTGAAACCTGAACAAAAGAACATTCTGGAATGGCTAATAGATGGTCTAGATTGTAAGGATTCAGTCCTTAAACCCGTAACTATCGTTCGGAGTTAAAGTTTTGGAGGTTGCATGGTTAGAAATCACATTCCGACTGTCACTTTCATAATCTGGTAAGCGATGCTCTGGTTGGTTGGATGAAAGGTCGTTCTGACGTGACCCCTAATGGGATGTCCTCAGATCTTTGTTTAGCGGAAGCGAAAACTGAGGTCTGATTTTAATGAGATTGTGTTTATGGGTATTTCTAACACTGCACCCCAATGCCACACTTTTTTAATTTTATGTTTCACAGATTTATTCCAGCTTTTCCACACAAGGTCGGTTGAAATAAAAGTAAATAGCTATTTTTTATTTCTTCATTCATTCATTCATTCATTCAGTCTGCCGTGGAGTTAAAACTGCAGGTGGCCTCTTGAATCACTGATAGTGATGTAGATGTTAGAAAAATAATTATATTTATATTTATTTTTTTCCTGGATCGGCTGCTCTTGAGTAAGGGGGGCGGGCTCGTAAAACAAACAAAAAAATTGTGGCCTAATGCCATTTCTTGTATCTCCACAACAAATATGCCTGACTGCTGCCATCGATCATAATCTCATTTTGACACTTTCTCAGAGTTCATATGTGTATGTATATTTGTCACAAAACATTAATTGGAAGTATGGGTTATGAGTTTTTAAGTTTTCTTGATGTTTTGGGATTATTTTTCTCCAAATGTACATAAACAAGACAACATAGTGTTAAAATATTCAGTGGCAGCTTGATATCTCTTTGGATTGGTTTCTTGTATACAAGTGTTTCTCCAAAATATACTACTGAAGAGAAGTTAAAGCACACCTGATTCTTTCACTTCACTATAGTTAATCTGTCATGCCAGGTGTTCTTGAACTTCATTTCAGTAGTATACATTCATATACCCTGGGGGGGCACAGGTGGCCCAGTCTTCTAAGGTGCAGCGATTCGCTGTTCAGAGTTGCGTCCCTTGGGCACGCCAGAAACCTATGATTGTGGGTTCGAATCCAGGTTCGCCCCGATTATGTTTCTAGGTTTGTCAGCACCATACCTGTGCTCGTGGGTTTCACCGAAGTGGTAAACGTCTGAGACCTGCATCACTTCGGGCTTTCCTCCCACATTAAGCTGACACGCCTCGATACTGGAATACTGTTAAAAGCGGCGTTAAACACAACTCACTCACTCACTCACTATACCCTGGATTTTGGTCATAAAAAATCTCAGCTTATACCATGGCAGGTTTCCAGTACCTCGTACACTGTGTGTGTGCGCAAATTTTAACCAAAACTTTTATTAAAAGGGCCAAACACACAAAAAATTGAATATTTTCTTGTGACCTTGACCTGTTCACACTATGCACCAAGAGAATTCTCTAGGTCCTTTTGGAAGAATAATCTTGGAAGACCTTAATCTTTCTGTAGTAGTTTCTAGAAAGACCCGTAAGGTTATTGGCGGCAGTTAAATTCAAACCAAACTTTAAAGCAGGCCCATGCCATAGAGCTGCTAATAAGGTTACCCAGGCCGAAAAGGCCACTTTGGCCACATAGTTACATACAGAGTTGTATCCAATTACCCTTTCTTAAATATATGCATGTTTTTACGCAAAGATTTGGTTTTATCGAGAAACCTGTTTCTAAAAGGGGCATTCCCACAGATTTACGTCTGTTTTCAACATGAAGACAATATTTCCAGAATACTAAAGAGTGGTGTTCCTGAGTGAGTGAGATTTTGATTTTAAGTGTGCTTTTAACAGTATTCCTGTAATATTACGGCTTGTCAGCTTAATGTGGGAGGGGGTGGTCGGGTAGCCTATTGGTTAAAGCGTTCGCTCATCACGCCGAAGATCCGAGTTCGATTCCCGACATGGGTACAATGTGTGAAGCCCATTTCTGGTGTCCCCTGCCATGATATTGCTGGAATATTGCTAAAAGCAGCATTAAACCATACTTGCTGGAATATTGCTAAAAGCAGCATTAAACCATACTCACTCACTTAATGTGGGAGAAAAACCCAAAGTGATACAGGTCTCAAATGTTTACCACATCAATGAAACCCATGTGCATGGGTACTGGTGCTGACAAACCTAGAAACATAATTTGGGCAGATCAGGATTCGAACCCATAATCAGGGATGAGAACCGTATGCAAATTGTAGTGACCACAAATTTGTTAAAATCTGATGGCTTCCCACATAAACACCCCCAAATTATGGACCACTCTTCATTGCAAAGAAGTTTTAGCAGAAAAGGTGAGGTGAGGTGAGGTGAAATTGGGTTTAACGTCACGTCCAAGATTATTGCACTTATATAGCGACGTGCATGCACATGTGTGTGTGTGTGTGTGTGTGTGGTTGCTTGTACTAGTCCGGACTGATGCCGATTTATAGTGCTAGCTCACTGAGATACCATGCCGCAGTTTAACATGAATACCCCACTCAGACACAGTATACTGACTCCGAGCCGACCAGTCCTTGTTTTAGCCCCTTAATGCTGAGCGCCAGACAGGGTAACAACAAGTACCATCTTTTAACGTCTTTTGGTATGATGCGGTCGGGGATCGAACCCCGGACCTTCCGCTCCCTGGGGGGACGCTCTACCACTAGACCACGGAGGCGGTCCTCAGCAGAAAAGGAAAATATCCATTCTCATCCCTGCATAATACGTATCTTTCTGGCGTGTCCAAGGGAGCAAATCTGTACAGCAAATTGCAGCACCTTAGACGACTGGGGCCCCCGTGTTTCAACAGGAGCAAATAGAACATAACACAATATCACAAATAGATTTTTAATTTGAATGTAAAAGTTAATTAATTAGTTTGTAATTAAAAAGGACAACATTATACATGATTGTTGTCAGCCACGCTAGTAGTACATGTGACTAAATCATTTGTAAAAACTGTACAGCTGCGATCTAACTCATTGAGCAGAGAGGTTGGTTCACATGCCTTGAAAAATCGAAAATGATTACATCACGTATAAAACAAAATAAAACCACTAGTAAATCAACAGTCACATTTGTTTTAAGAATAAACTAAGAGATGAAATCCCTTGCATTATAAACATGACTAATGTCTACAGATATTGATGGACGATAATACTGATTACATCAACTTTCTTGATCAAATCATGCAGTAGGAACTGTTTTATACGAAAATCTTGAATACTCTTTAACATGCTAAGTTCTAGTTCATTGTAGTAAATCATGTCAAAGTCCTGTCACAATTGTGATAACATTCTGAATTCATTAGAATTATTTTTTTCAGCTACATGAATACTTAAGCTATATTTGATATAGGACAGATTCTTGTATTCACTGACTAGTAGAAATGATAAATGAACACGAGAGAGAACATGCAGGGTATCTGAATGATATCCATAAAATAATCTCAATTAAATGTTGACCTCCATAACTATCAACTACATCCAACAGCTCTACTGGTCCAAGGTGTGACTTAATGTTTCAATATTTTTCCAACAATATCTTCCACAAAAGAAAAGGCCTGCTCTACTTCAGAAATGTTTTGTATTTTACATGCACATTTAGCATGAGGATAGTTCACTTTTAGTATGTGACTAAGTCTGTGCTAAAAACTAGTCTACTTGCACAAACTTGTCTCTGAGCATCATTTTCAGTTGACTTATATGTTAAATGAACAATCATTAGTTGAGCTTACTAGACCGAACAGAATGTTCCTTGACTGGGGCTTCGGAATAGTCACTAAGGCTTAAAAAAAATAAAAGAATTGGTTCTCAGGCAATGACTTTTAAAAAATATAGTGCAGGCGGAAGGTGTTTTTTTTTTAGTATGTAACTAAATAAACAGTTGTGTGCACATGTTAAGGTAAGTAACTGTGTGGCTTCGACAATATTGGATTGCACTGTTTTTGAGTATTAGGATTTTTTTATTTTTTGAAGATGGAAATAAAAACGTAACGTGCAGCGGACACTTACACGATGCGGGCAGTGCCTGAGAAGAACGTCTATTATTTTTTTTAGTCTAAGACTTAAAAGGGGCCAATTGTCATACATGAGAATCAGGAGAGGACAAGTAAATATGAATACTTTCATAGCCAATATTGATATATATACAAAGAACTAGCTTTAAATAGGCTTACTAGTGACATAAAACAATAAAAAGCCAGTATATATCGTCATAAATGCTAATGGTTGACAGCACATGCTTGTGACCATGGTAACAGTGTATGCTCGTAACCATAGTAACAACTGCAACATGGAAAGTTGAGTATATGTGTCAAGTGAAGCCTCTGTGTGTCACACAGCTAAGTATCTTGTGTAAAGTTGATATAAGATGGATTCAACCTGGGTAGTGTCAGCTATAAGGATACAAACTGGATACATCATGTGGGGGTCCTGTTGCTTTTTTTCCCTATCCGACCAGCCAGTCCAAGTGTTCTAACCGACCAGCCAGTCCAAGTGTTCTAACCGACCAGCCAGTCCAAGTGTTCTAACCGACCAGCCAGTCCAAGTGTTCTAACCGACCAGCCAGTCCAAGTGTTCTAACCAACCAGCCAGTCCAAGTGTTCTAACCGACCAGCCAGTCCAAGTGTTCTAACCGACCAGCCAGTCTAAGTGTCCTAAACGACCAGCCAGTCCAAGTGTTCTAACCGACCAGCCAGTCTAAGTGTCCTAAACGACCAGCCAGTCCAAGTGTCCTAAACGACCAGCCAGTCCAAGTGTTCTAACCAACCAGCCAGTCTAAGTGTCCTAAACGACCAGTCAGTCCAAGTGTTCTAACCGACCAGCCAGTCCAAGTGTTCTAACCGACCAGTCAGTCCATGTGTTCTAACCGACCAGCCAGTGAACCTGTGGTTTGTAAACTAGCTTTACTGACCAACCCTTAAAAGGCAATAGGTTGGAGCCATTCTTTAATTCATCGCTAGTCATGTGTCCTGTTAAAAATATAAAATCTCACTGTTGAACAGACTGCCATGTAAATGATGGTCCAGAACAATACAGATGACGCATCTCCAGGCAAGACACATGAAGAATTCAACGTTGAAGCATAATCATAAATTATGAAATCATAAATAGTTTGTTCAACCAATAAACATTCATATGGCGACAACAAAGATTATCTCACAACATACTAACACACAAACTGATTCCATCTTTTCTAAAAAATTCACCTACAGCTGAGGCAAAATCACAACATGCAGAACTTCATCAAAAAGTTCAGACACTAATAGTATATCTCACAATTCAGAATATAAAACAAAAGTCGCAACCTGTATAAGTATCCAGTTACTTTGCTTGAATTTCTTGGATAAGATCCAATATATAAAATGTAGGAATAAACGTTCCTTCTTTCTCATCCGGTCTGGCAAGTGTCATCAGAAAGTCTCTCTTTGCGAAACAAAGAAGGAAACAGCTGTATTGCAAATTCAGATTGTCTCAATTCACTTCCTACTAGAACTCTTAAATTGTGGAGTTAATTCTAGCTTGTTAGACAATTGACCATTATAGTATTTGATGGTTGTTGTACAGCCCAATCTCATTAAAATCAGATCTTAGTCCTCGCTACCGCTAAACAAAGATCTGAGAACATCCCATTATGGGTCACGTCAGACCGACCTTGTGCGAATCAGAAGGCAGCTTTCTCGTGCTTTACGGCACTAATTTCAAATTGGCGACTACGCTTCGAAACATATTTTGACAAATTCTCGATTACAAATTTGAAACCTGAACAAAAGAACATTCTGGAATGGCTAATAGATGGATTGTATGGATACAGTCATTAAACCCGCAACTATCGTTCGGAGTTTAAGTTTTCGAGGCTGCATGATCATAAATTACATTCCGACTATCACTTTCATAATCTGGTAAGCGATGCCTTTGATTAGTCGGATGAAAGGTCGTTCTGATGTGACCCATAATGGGATGTCCTCAGATCTTTGTTTAGCGGTAGTGAGAACTGAGGTCTGATTTGATTGAGATTGTTATACAGCCATGCAGTGTCAGGCTGTCAGGGGAGGTAACTACGACTAACACAGATAATGAATGTCTGATGAAGAGGCAACACTGACGATGTATTGCGCTAGGATGAAGCTGACAATGTCGTCTCAGCAGGGCACCTAGGAACTCACGGTTGCTCCAGGAATCTTCGTCAGTACCTGAAACAAACAAGGAGAGAGTGAGTTCAAACTTTCTGTATATATGTTGATGGAAAGGGCGTCACAAGCTGGGCATCATTTTCCCAATCCATTTGACCTCTGAATGTCAATGAAATATGTTTGACAAAAACATACAGAAGAAGTAAATATCAACACACTTGAATTTGCTTGCATATTGTGTCTGTGGCAACGTCCAACTAAGGGCAAGGTCACAACCAGAATAAGTAAAAACAACCCTGATCTTCACACAGCATTTTACGCTAGACATCAATGGGGAATGTTATTGTTCACACCTGTGATATTTTGGACTACCACAAAAATCAGAAGAGAGTGTGTGTGATGACGCCCCCTGCAAAATGGGGTGTCAAGAATAAACAGACCTATAGGTGGGGCGTGGGGGCATGCAGAAATAAGCATTTCTGATTAAATGCAATGTTTTTATACTTACCTGACGCTACACCTAAAGCACTGTGTAGCGTCAGGTAAAGTAAAAACATGAGCATTTCTGATTAAATGCAATGTTTTTATACTTACCTGACGCTACACCTAAAGCACTGTGTAGCGTCAGGTAAGGTAAAACATGAGCATTTCTGATTAAATGCAATGTTTTTATACTTACCTGACGCTACACCTATAGCACTGTGTAGCGTCAGGTAAGGTAAAACATGAGCATTTCTGATTAAATGCAATGTTTTTATACTTACCTGACGCTACACCTAAAGCACTGTGTAGCATCAGGTAATAAAAACATGAGATTTCTGATTAAATGCAATTTTTTTATACTTACCTAATGCTACACAGTGCTATAGGTGTAGCTTCAGGTAAGGTAAAACATGACAGTTGTATTGATAAAATAATATTACATATTAAATGGGTGGTGGGGGTGGGGAGTGTGTGAGCAAAACATGATACAGTCCGAAGACCAATCCCAATGAACAGCTCTCCCCCTCCACCCCATCTCCCTACAATAAATAATTAATTGCAATTTGAGTAAGTAGTCTGACTAATAAAGAGGTGTTTGAGATGTCAGTTGGTCTAAACCCCAACACTCCAACCCTTGTAATGTTGGTTTTGTTCTGACCTTTGACAGATCGACCCCTGTAAGGGCCTGGACGGCTGGGGGCAGCTGGCTGACCAATCGGTTCACTTCGCTAGTGGTGCGGTCATCACCCACCATCACGATCTCGTCCGTCTTCGACAGTGGTGCAGATACCTCGGCTGCAATCTGTTAAAAGGAAGGAATGATCAAGAACATGGGAAGAAACATGTGCATGACATCTCATAAGTTCACATGAACCTCTGATTCAGGTGAGCTACTACAATTCAGGTTAAGATTTTGCAGAGAGTTTGGGTGAGAAGCTGTGGATTATCACGAAAACACTGCATAAATCCTACTTCAGGGAGAAGTTAGTTATGTACACCAATCTAAAGTTACAACACCAAATCGAAAATAATATTGATTCATTACAGATATAAATGTGTTCTTGATATTGTGTTTTGACAAAATTAGAAAAAGATTCTGGTCGCAGACAACAGCATATCCATGAAAACACACAGCATGAAGCTGTTTTAATGGGAAGAGAGCTGCACACACAAATCTAAAGCATCAATACATGAACATAACACTCAATAACATTCAGCTTCTAATAGAACCCTGCCACACTTCTGGTCTCTGAGGGGGGCACAGGTGGCCCCGTCGTCTAAGGCGCCACGATCCGCTGTGCAGAGTTGCGTCACTTGGGCACGCCAGAAACCTATGATTGTGGGTTCGAATCCAGGTTCGCCCAAATTATGTTTCTAGGTTTGTCAGCACCATACCCGTGTTGTGGGTTTCACCGAAGTGGTAAACGTCTGAGACCTGCATCACTTCAGGCTTTCCTCCCACATTAAGCTGACACGCCGCGATATAACTGGAATACTGTTAAAAGCAGCATTAAACCCAACTCACTCACTCACTCACTCTGGTCTCTGACCAGGAGACAAACGCTCTGAAATTCCATCAGTAACCAACAGCTTCAGGTCTTCCTTTCAGAGATGCTAACCCCATTTGAACTTTGGAGTAATCAGTGGGTTATAAAAGAGTTATTCCATGGGAAAAAGAGAAAATTTAACAGTACGAGTAGCTCTGTTTGCGAAAAAAATTGATCGATAAAATGACTTGAGTTTGTACTAATATAACAATCACAGATCTCATATCACTAGGTAATGGATATTGAACACTATGTGAACTGAAACTATGGCTCTAATTGGTCAGCATAGGCTCACTGTAGAATGCTAAATATGTCAATTGTGCTTTTACAATTACCTCTCCATGATATTTTATGTGATATGTTGAAAAAAATGACAAAAAGCATAATTTGGAGGACAAGCATAACAGTGTAATTTTAGGTTCAAGATTACGCCAAAATCGAAAAGGTGGGCATCTCTGACTTTCCCCCTTTCCCTTTCCTTAACTTAGGCTTTACAATTCCGAGCATAACCATGTCTTAACCTTCATGTAATCTACCCATTTGACTATTGACTACCTACATCTGTGAACAAATGCAGAGAGGCAACCAACCTTTGGTAGAGTCTCCAGAACAAGGTTCAACATGGCAGCCTCTCCGTACTGCTTGTACGCAGCAGCCTTCAGCCTCATTCTCTCAGCCTCAGCCTTGCCCACAGCCTCGATAGCCTCAGCCTCTGCTCCTCCAATCAGTTTGATCTTCTCTGATTCTCCTCTTGCAACCTCCACAGTCTGAGTCCTGGTGAGAAAGATATTTGAAATCAAGATATGACCGTGGTGCTTGCCGATCTACTATTGTAATAGTGTTTGTTTAATACAAGCCACTGTCATGTAACTGGTATAATTGTGCGAAGCATTATTAATTAGTATGATTCTCTAACTCTTAATTGATAGGACCCCACAGTATTACCTGTATACTGGTGTACTGCAATACGCTTTTCAAACTATACATATTGCAATATTTTTAACAGTGTCTTGGTTTATTAGGCAAAAAATACAAAACAAGTTTCATTATTTCTTCTATCATTTAACCTAAAATCGACACAGAAATATATTCACAAATGATGTTTCCCTTTGAATTGAAAGACAAAACGCCAGAAATGCAGAAGTGATTTCACTCTCACATTGTTATCTCCCCTGTATCCATGACTACAAAATAGCAGGGACTGATGATGCTGAGTAATATCTACTTCATTAGAAAATAGAATCTGTTTGTATAATAAGTGTCAATCACTTTACCTCTCATTTTATCGCAATAACAATTGTCTTGCCAATACACAGCCCTTGTAATTAACTGTGATGTACAGAATTTCTTTACTCACCTGGAACCCTCTGCCAGCTGTCCCATCTTATAGGCTTGAGCCTCGGCAGGGCGCTTCACGGTAGCAATCAGCTCCTTCTCCTTTCTCAGAATCTCCTTCTCTTCAACATCGATCTGCTTACGTCTCTCTACAACCTCGATCTCGATCTCCTCACTACGGATCTTCTGCTTCTCCTTAGCCCCTTGTAGCTCATAGGCCAGCTCTGCTTCAGCTTTCTGCAACAAACATGGCAGTCTATTACAACCTGAATATCCAGCTTGGAATTGGTCTTCAGTAACCTATGCTAGTCGAACGAGGAGTTCGTGTTCGTGTTCCTGTGCGTGTGCGTGTGCGTGTGTGTGTTTAATATAATTCTCACGCTCCTCATGACAATCATTATCACAGTCGTTACTACATGATCAAATATTGACTTGTCTCAAGCTACAGGTAGTTTAATATAATTCTCACGCTCCTCATGACAATCATTATCACAGTCTGGAGCAAAACATTGTAAAAAGGCTCTTGACTGTAAGCCCTGACAATACATACCCTTGCATTGACTTCCATGTCAAAGTTGCCCTTTTGCATCTGGTAGGCTCTGGAGGAGTCCGCGACCTTGGTGTCAGCCTGGAACTTGGCATCCATACGAGCCTTCTCACACTCGGCTTCCTGTAACATAGACAGGGGGTTAGAAACAACTACACCCAAACTGATCTGGGACAAAGGGGACAAACATGAAAATAAACACACAGAGCAAGGAGAAGTTGGATCGGAAACAAACACACCGACACAGAGCACTGTGTAAGGACACATAGGAGAACCTGCATTAGAAAGAAAAACACACTGACACTGCACACTGCTGAACTGGGACACAATGGATAAGTTAGATAAGAAAAAAACACGGACACTCAACAGGGACATAGGAGAAGTTGGATCAGAAACAAACACACCGACACTGACCTGACATGGAAAATGTTGGATCAGAAACAAACTCATCCACACTTTGTTGATTAATGCCACACCCAGCAATATTCCAGCTATATGATGGCAGTCTGTAACTAATCAAGTCTTTAATCCAGTGATTGACATTATGAGCATCGATCTACACAATTGGGATACGATGACATGCACCAACCAAGTCAGCGAGTCTGACCACCCAATCCTGTTAGTTGCCTCTTATGACAAGCATAGAAGCCTCTTATGGCAAGCATGGGTTGCTGAAGACTATTCTCTAGCCTGATCCAGACTGAGCTGGGGAAATATTGCCTCATTTGAGTAAAACTGAATGTAGTGACTGCTTTGGGCTTCTGCATAACCTTCCGCGGCTGAGTGGGTTATAGATCGCTGACTTTGTGTGCTGGCGATTAGGTGCCTCATTCTGGCAAGTGTGGTTTCGAATCCCGGACGGGACTCAACCCAAAAAAAGAACTAGAATCTGTACTTTACTAAGAAATTGTTATCCCAAATATAACATTTGTTACATTTGACCACTTTCTAAATGGCATTGTGTATTCATCTCTTTCGTCCATGGGAGCCGTGCCAATTTACACTTGTCAGAGGGGTGCTCAAAGTACGTTATCTAGACTACCAGTTGTCGGACTTTCATTTTTGTGGAAGCCTCCGTGGCTGAGTGGGTTAGATCGCTGACTTTGTGTGCTGGCGATTAGGTGCCTCACTCTGGCAAGTGTGGGTTCGAATCCCGGACGGGACTCAACCAAAAAAAAGTACTAGAATCTGTACTTTACTAAGAAAGTGTTATCCCAAATATAACATTTGTTACATTTGACCACTTTCTAAATGGCAACGTGTTTTCAATGTCAGTCTACTTTGAGCTGCTCTCTGTTCCCTTATGGTCATGGTGTACAGATCAAGAATAATCACGCAGTTCAATATTTCTACCCATTATTTCACTAATACCAACCCTGATGCCAGCATCTCTATTAGCCTCTGCCACGCCAATGTCAGCGTCTCTCTTGACGTTGGCAGTCTGGGCACGGCCGAGCGAGGACAGGTACTCCACATTGTCGAAGATGTCCTTGATGGTGAAGCTGAGGACCTCTATGCCCATCTTACCCACGTCAGGGGAGGCAACTTCACGCACCAGCTGGGCAAACTGATCCCTGTCCTGGTAGATAGCCTCCACGCTGAGGGTTCCTGAAACACAGCAAACACATGGTCAGTGTGGGTCAAGCATGACACACTAGAGGTCAGGCTTAAGACACTGGAGGTCAGGCATGACACACAGGAGGTCAGGCTTAAGACACTGGAGGTCAGGCTTGACACACTGGAGGGCAGGCTTGACACACTGGAGGTCAGGCTTGACACACTGGAGGTCAGGCTTGACACACTGGAGGTCAAGCTTAATCATGGCTTGTACCAAACTTCAGCCATCACATTTAGGGCAATGATCACACTTCTTAAGCCTGTACAAACCCTGTCAACACACTTGGAATCATGATAACACTGTTTGCTAAAACATGGAAGTCACATTTGCTTCAATACCCAAAGATTCTTCAGAAATACATATATTGCAGTAAAATCATACCAACATTTTCATTTCCAAAATTCTCACTTTTTGTAAATTTCTAAATAATTTAAATGTCTCAGCCATATACAGGGATGTGAAATCTCCACGGAAACGCAGAAAATCAATTGATCTAGATGTCATTGATTTATAGCAGTTGGTGTGATGAACAAGAACAAGTTCTGATGGGTAAACAACTTTTACAGGACATGAATAGGAATCTTTATTTCAGTTGCAGTGTAAAGCTCATCTTCCCCTGGTGAGGGAGTTGACTGACTGTAAAAGGTCCAGTTTGCACCCTTGCCGAACTAGACTGGAATTTCTGGGCTATTACGAGTTATGTCCTTTCTATGTCCCTTGTATTGACCAATCAGATTCCTCCTCTCATATCACTTTATAAGAAATGGCGGCACCAAGTGAAGACAATCTGACCAAAATCTGTATTGTAATAAAACGGGTCTTACTCTGCGAAGTGCATTAAATAACGTGAGCACCTTGATCATAAACATGAAGAGATCTGGAAAATATCTGTTTATATAAGTTGATGGTATGCATGCTTTGCAAACCTTGCAATTGACCCAAATCTGCACGGCAGTTTTACAAACCGGAAGTTGATTTCACGACGTGATTTTAATTGGACTATGCATAGACTCGTTTGTCCAGCCAAAATATATTCCATAATTCCAGTCAAGTTCGACAAGGGTGGAAGTGGACTTTCAGTCAGTTAACTCCCTTCCCTCGAGAAGATGTGCACAGCTATACTGAAAGCTTGCTTCAGTTGCAATAAAGAAGTTATTCATCCTTAAGCACATGTCCTTGTTCATCACACCAACTTCTAAATGACTCTCAAAGAAGAACCTATGGCAGTAAATGGGTCTACTGAATTTATACACTGGGTAATCGAGGATAAGTTCTTAGTGCTGGTTGAAGATAGGTTACCAAGGATAGCTCTCAGGTGGCCCTCCATTGTCTGCAGGATGACGCTCTGAATCTCCCGAGGATCTTTGCCGAGAAACTGTTCACAGGCATTCTTCAGGATGTCTGGCTCTCGAATGATCTTGCACTGTGCCACTCCGGTCACCGTGACTGGGACACCCTCTGAGGTTTCCACGCTCTCGCACACAGGGTTCAAGGTCATCACCTCCAGGGAGATCCTGGAAGAGGGTCAACATGTAGTCCCCAAGGTCTACATACGCATCACAATGAGTGAGGGAACATTGAATTATATTTAACTCCACAGTCAGCCCTAACACACTGGTCTGGAAATAATCAGAGCCAGGTTAACGAGTGATGGAAAACAAGTCATGTCATCGGGTCACAATGACACACAATTACAACCAGTAATAGAGTGCTGGCGACCTCTTTTATCACAGGTCCAGAGAAGTGCCCTTGGCACTATGGCAGGCAAATTGGGGAAAACTTGTGATATTGTTCAAAACTGGATTTATTCAGTTCTTTTTTTAGATATTTCTTAGGAATTAAGAAATTTTTCGTTCAAATTAAGAATTTTACTATGTTTACTGGCATTTGCTAAAGATTGGCCTTGGGGTCCATATAATAAAATCACAACATTATGATCAGATATCAGACTGAAGTCCAAAATGATGTACCGACATTTGGGTGTCTTGTCACGAACCCTCTTCCCAAGCCTACGGTGATGTACCTACTTTTGGGTGTCGGTCACCAGCCACCATGCCCATCCCCAGCCTCCAATGATGTATTTTCTGCCCTCGGCACCACAACAGCCACCTGAAACAAACACATCAAACACCAGATAACACAGTGTTGGAAAAATAATTGGCATACATGTTGCACACATATGAATGAGCATAAGGCTTAAAACAATAAAAGAATTGTTTCTCGGGCAATGCTTTTTTTAAATATATTGCGAATGGGTAGTGTCATTTATTTTATCTATTAATTCAAACAAGTATGTAACCAAATAAACAGTTTTGTGACAAAATAAACAGTTGTGTAACCAGATATACAATTGTAATAAACCTGGGAAAGGGCCCCGACATAAATGTATTCCTTGATCATGTTGATGTAAATGTATTCCTTGATGAGTAAAATACTGGAATACAGTATTTGACTAACGTTAGACTTGGAATATTTAAGGATTTTTTAATATTTTTTTGATAATAGAAATCAAAATGATGCGGGCGGTGCTTGAGAACCAAGACAATTTTTTTTAGCCTAATAGGTGTTTGTGAGAATCCTAGTAATTGATGTTGGTTGAATATTGATATGCCCCATACAAATCATAAAGTGGCACTAATGTAAACATTACTTGGTCTACATGTTGATGTCACTTTCATGTGTTAGTATGGTTGTCACACGCCATCATCAAACTTATATTTTTGCTCCTTCAATCACTATTGCACATGTCAAACTGAGAACTTTCAATGTTGTTTATCATCTGTTTATAAAATGCCTCAATATTTCATCATGTTCACTTCAATTGAAATAAGTAAAACAAAAAAAGGCATGCTGAAATGGTCAGCTACTTTTGCATTTGGTGCACCCACCTAGCGTTGATGTATGTAAGCTATCAAGTATCATGTGCCATGATACACATGTATTTGGAGCATCAAACAGACATAACAGATAGGTATCTGGCAAAGTGCATGTGTACATTGGACTGATGTGAGATGTATGTGTTCATTGCACAGTACATAACAGCTACACCTACAACCTGAACCCTAAGTCAGGACTAAACATACCATTCTAAGGGGAATGTTTACATTACAACATAGGCCAATATATTCATATATTAGAATGTTGTTGATGCAGTTGCATTATGCTTGCTAGGTCTCGGAACTGTATTTTATGCATGAAATACGCTTGAAAACATGAAATTAGGGAATTAATGATCGTAATCGGTGCACTGGCGTCGCATTTCGTGCAATTATCGTGACATATTTCAACATAACGTATGCAGGTTTCGCAATCAAAATTCCGCCGAAACATAAAAATCATAAGTAAATTTACGATTCAACAAGGAACTAGAACAATCAAGATACATACATGATGATTAACAAGATGTTCTTTGCATCATAAAAAGGAAAAACAATACATCAGATAATTAATGAGACTGGTTCATATTGTGAAATACTTAGAATATTTCCAGGAACCTCTGTCGAACGGGGAGGGTGTCGGCTGCAGCTGCATTCCTGACGATTCTGTTACAAAACTACGATTTCCAAGTAATGTCATTGCATAAAAAATACCCACCTGAAATAACAAGGGCTTCGTTGGGTCCTGTCGTGTATATATTCCCCATGATGAGTTAAAATGCCAACAGTTTGTTGCTGTTTTGCAGCTTTGTTTGGGAACTTCGCTTATCCAGGTCAATATGGCCGACCTTGAAATGTCACTCTCGGGATATCGAGAATTTGTTAATAATCAAAACAAATTAGCAAAATTTTATCCCCTCTTTTTTTATACATACAGAGTGCTGTCTCGCTGTGAATTATGAATAATTACAGAATATTAGTGTTTTTAAATGAAAATTTCGTATACCATATTGGTCGTACAACTAATCATATTTGGATATACTTCTGCTGGTTGGACGCACGAAATTCAAAGTGACACTGTTACATCATGATATAATCAAGTAATCAATTTTGTCCTCTGATAGGGAATATTTTCCCACTGTCATGAAATAAATACTCTAGATCAATACCTTTCTGTGGAGGAAATATTACGTGAGTTTTGGACAAGATGTGAGATCATTTTTTGTTTGGGAAGAATTGTTTGGTATGGAATAGTTTAGATGTGTGGTATCTTAACTTCACGTCTATACGGCTGCAATTGGTTACATATGGACAAGGTGATCCGGTCGTTTAGGGTGCCTCATTTAAGTACACAAAATTACGTCCCTTAGGCGTGCCAGCATCCTATGATCTTGGGTTTCACCAAATGGTACATACCTAGTTAACTAACACGCCGGGAAATAACTTAATTACCGTTCAAAGATCCGTTAAAGCACACTCACTTATTATCATAATGACAAAAATAGTTACAGGGGATTATATAAGTAGAATGGCGCGAAGAAGAAAATGCTACTTTTACTCTTGGGAGTACATTACCATCAGAAATCATCCCTATCTGCATCCGTGCGTGACGGGAATCGGCTTGTGTTCGATCAGACAGTTGGATGGTGAGGCTGCTATGTTGTCATTTAAGGTTTACATGGTTGACAGATTTTGACCAATTAGTTTGGTTCGATCGAAAAAAGGGAATTGAAAAAAGGTCATGTATTTCAATATGATTTTAATTTTATATAGCATGCAAATATCTTTATATAGCATGTAAAGATAAATGCTTATTCTCAGGATGTTTATATTATTCTTACGGTAACAAGTATCCTAAGCGCATTTGATTCTGATGAGGCATTGTTCTCCTTTACAGTGACCACAAAACATACAATGTACTGATCGGTTATTATCTAACAAGTTGATAGTTAGTTTTTGTAAGATTTCGGTGGTCGTGTGTTTTATTCAAACATAGAGCGGCCGAAAAAAATACAAAAAAATTTAAACAATATTATTTCAGTTATTGTTCCGATGTGGAATTTTGCGCCTATTAGTCGAACCCTCTCTTCCTATCATCTGACCCATACTTATGTTTATCATGATTCATAGGTATAGCCTCTTCTGAGTCAGGGTAGCGCGGGCGTATGGTGACTGATTTCTGCCATTTCGCACCTTCACGTTCTACTGAGACTTGCGATGCGGTGCGGTACGGTGCGGTGCGGTGCGGTGCGGTGCGGCGCGGCGCGGCGCGGCGCGGTGTGACATTGGCAGAAATCAGCCAGCATACGTACTTGTACTTCTGACAAAGCTGTCTCAGAGCAAAGTGATATTCGAACTAGCGTCTCTATCTTACTTTTTTTATTTTGTGTGTTCACATCAGTAGGTGTCACGACGTAGATGCCAAAGTCTTATTCAGTATACACTGTGAGACAAACAATCAAAAGTAAAGCATATGATGTTTTATGAAATCTTGGCCACGAGGTCTTTAATACTGAAATATCTCTCGTATCTTGTATTTGGAGTAGATAGAAATTACTCAATTATATAAGTAGGAATGGGTTTAGTATTTTAATCTTTGTCCGTAATTCAGACGCGTTTGTAATCTGTTTGTCTCATCACTGACACCTGTGAGAGTGACACCTGTGAGAGTGACACCTGTGAGAGTGACAGCAGGGTTTGTGACAGTCATATAATTTTATAATTATTTTACAAGACTGTATTATGCTATGATGATAGTGCAAAGAAAGGGATGTATGCGATTTTGTACCCAAGAATATACAACAATATATATTTCAGTATATAATAATGTATGACTTTACACGTATATTGTAATCAAGCAGAATATAGGGACACATTGTTACAATAAGTAAGTCACAAGCACTAAGCACCATATAAGCACTAAATTCAACACTTTTCTACACAGTTAAGCGGTCTGGCAGCTGAATCGCAGGCTCAGGTTTGGGTACAAAATCATGAGAGGTGTGGTGAAATGGTGTTTAACGTCGCGTTCAAGATTATTGCACTTATAAAGCAACGTGTATGCGCGCGTGTGTCCGTGTGTGTGCGTGCGCGCGCGTACGTGTGTGTGTGTGTGTGTGTGGGGGGGGGGGGGGGGGGGGGGGGGCTGCTTGCAACCCATGTTGATTTTATAGTGCTAGCTCATTGAAATACCATGCTGCAGTTTAACATGAATACCCCACTCAGACACAGTATACTGACACCGAGCTGACCAGTCCTTGTTTTAGCCCCTTAATGCGAGCGGCAGACAGGGTAACAACAAGTACCATCTTTTAACGTCTTTTCGTATGGCATGGCCGGGGATCGAACATAGGGCCTTCCGCTCTCTGGTCGGGCGCCCTGAACAACGCATTTTAAGACGTCAGAGCGAAATGTACTAATTCTATTTACATTGTCAGTACACAAAGAATACTATATAAAGGAACGTTAAAACTCAAACTTCACCGATAATGCTTTTCCACACACTTAGCGCAAAATGTGTGTCAAGTTCATCTCAGATAACTGACGCCTGCATTATGAACATTATTAGTTGTTAGGAATATACGGACAAAGCACGCGACTGCCAGGAACGGGGTTAGTCGTCCATTCAGGACTTGTTTCGACAGTAACCGGAGGGGGAAAATCGGTGATTCTTACGATCGGGATATCATATTTATCTGTAAGTGTTTTCTATTATGATACTAAAGATGATTTTATTTATCTGATGATTATTTCATAAAAATCTCACCACCTGTTGAAAATCTTGACCCGAGAATAGTTCCAGTTCACACAGGCGATGAGATATCGTCGACAGGAGCGCAGACACTTTGTCACCGTTTGACTTTTCAAGTGTTATGTGATGTCCAGTGTTTATGAAAACCGTAGGCTTAGTCTATGTTTTCATCGGTTAATTGCAATGGTTTAAGGTGCCTTGTTTGTTTAATTTTGCTGTTTGAAAGGCGTATGTGTGTTACGTGAGTGATCGCAGTGAAGATAAATGAATGAACTAGGTTACTCTTGACATGAACTTGATTTGGTGAAAGGGACGTCATCTCAAATCACAACAAAGTTCGCTTCCAACATTATCAGTGGATCAAGCCATACCGCAACCCCACAGACACTCACATGGTACAGTTGTTAGCTTGGAAGTCTAGAGTATAGCTTTGTTAATCCAAGACTTAATCCAAATCTTGAGGACTAGTTGTTTGGATTACTCTCAACATCATGAACATGCTCAAAATCTAGTTATTTTACATAGCCTTAACTAAAACTCCAAAATGAGTTGTGAATTAGTGGAGTGTTCAAATTTGAGTGGGATCCTGGGGACACTGATGTTTGCTCCTACAGTATTTGAATCAAGAACCCCCTCCCTCTCCTTACACAGTATATATTTTAAAACTCAACAAGACAGTTAGGCAGATGGCCTATAAGTGTTGCCTGCCCATCTTCAAAGTTATCTGCCTGCATTCCGACATTATAAATATTGAAAAATTGCATCTTGCTTCAGTTGAGATAATGCTAACAATCACTTGAGAATCTACAAGAAGTTGTAATAAAACTAAAAACATAAGTAGTCTTATCTGCAGTCTGATTAGTCTGCATCTGTGTCAAGTATGGCACAATGGATGAAAATATTTATGGTTTCACTACTAATTTTCACTACTACTTAGTATTTGGTGTAAAGAAAGAATATCAACTTATGATATCCAAGTACTGTATCGGAATATGAATCATATCGCACCTATAATCATGATAATATCTGGATACCTATATATCGCGTCCCAACTGTATCTTTACGCCTCTAAGCTGCGACTGTGATCGATACTTGTATCAACAAGTAAAAAATCACGATCCACCGATGCATCAGTGTATCGTCTTAGCACTAGTGTCTACCCCTGTGGACCTACCTAGGACTGGTTCCCAGTAACCAATGCTTACCTTAAGCAGTGTTTAAATGGATTGGGCGGTCAGGCTTGGTGACCTGGTTGACTGTGTAACATTGTGTGGTGTTGATGTAGAACTCTGTTCAGGGCCTGTTGCTCATAATATCAGCCTCTGGTTTGCCTTAGGTATTTGCAGACAGCTGCCACTGTGATATAGTTGTAATATTGCTGACTGCAGTGTAATACAACATTCAGTCCTGAAGAAAGAAACCCAGTTTGCCCAGTTTGCTCAGTTTGCTGAAGTGTGAGTGTTTGTTGTTTGATGCTGCTCTCGGCAATATTCCAGCGCTAAGACGGTGGTCTCTTCGAGTCTGGACCAGACAATCCAGGGATTGACACCATGGGCATCAATCTATACAATCGCAATACGATGACATGCATTGAGCAAGTCAACGAGCCTGAACACCTATCCTGCTAGTCGCCTCTTATGACAAGCATTGCTGAAAACCGAGTCAGAATCTTCACCATGTTCACTGGACTGAAATGACATGTGTATCAACAAGATCAAATCAGGTCAATGTAGACTTTGTAATGAACATGATGAAAGCTTGTTCATTGCAAACACTGCCTTATCATCATATTTCCTTTACTTATGCTACAACATAATCATGATAATGTATATCTCATGTTTTAAAATCCCACAAATTCTGTTTTGTATCAGTTGGGCTAAAAGTAGGAAATGTTCCTCTGGCATCATCGTGCCACTTCAGGTCCTGTGTGTCAGTCATTTTTGTTGCCTATAAAAAAATAGTTTTTATAATTCCATCCATAGCATACAACTGACATTGTACTGAAGGCCGAATTCAATGTGTGCATAGTTTTTGGCAGTTAGTGTTGGTTGGTATTGTTGGTTGGGGAAAAAATAGAAAGTATTCCTCATTTTCGCTTCTATA